GCATGAAATCTAGGTCCAGGACTTCATGCTGATCGCCACCAACCACCTAACATTCAAGTCACGTAACTTTGTGATCACAGTACAAACTTGGCTGAAAGAATTCAGTTGACACTGACATAAATTTTATTTTTTTTATTTTGATTTACAGCTTGATTCCACACCGTATTTTCAGTACAAGTGTGGAATTTTCAGCATGGATATCGGTAGCCCAAATTCAGGCCGACCATAGATATCGGGTGTGGGCCGGCAGGGGATCGAACCCCGGACCATGTTCATGGTCGGCGAGAGTCCTAACCACTGTGCCACCGACGCACAAATAATAAATGACTAGACTGGTGGCTAATCAATACAAAAAGTAGAATATAAACCAGACAATGCCATATTAGTTTGTTTATTAGATATATCACACAGTGAAATAGTATTATTAACCAGTATATAATACTGTTTCACTGTGTGGTGTATCTAATAAACAGACTAATATGGAATTACTTACTACCACAGTGCTCAGGTTTTACACGTATATTAATAAACCAGACAATTTGCTCAGTATAATAACGGGGTATGATATACGCATGTAGTAGGATGCAAAGTTATACCCAAAAAGGTACAACACTCGAAATTATTTAAGAATTTTTCGATTCTAGGTTTTTGTTCATTTTGGCTAAACCCTTTCAGTGACTGTAAAATAAAACCAGATTTTGACAGAGGATGGCATTTAAACCTCTACCATAACTTCATCGGCTTCGGGAAGGCCTTCGAAGGATAGTGTTGACTGAGAAGTAATTTGGAAACTACTTCAACAGCATAGCGTGCAGTTCCCCAAGTCTTTATCAACTTCATTCAACAGCTGGCTATTTGACAATACCACGTGTCAGGTGATCTACTACAGAAAACTCAGTGAGGCGTTCGAAGTGAATAAAGGAGTAAGACAAGGCTCCCAACAACTATCACTGATGGTATTCTTAATTGTGGTGGACTGGATTATGAGGAAGAATGTGAGTGGGGGGTGAGAAGAGAGGAATACGCTTGACCACCGATAATAAGACTCTAGAAGATCTGGATTTCATGGATGACTTACGTTCACTGTCAAGCAAACTCTAAGACCTGCAGGCGAAAACCGACAAACTGGCTGAAGAAGTAGCTGATGAAGACAGGACTTCAGGTGAATATAGAGAAGATGGAAGTGATGAAGATTCCTACGCATCACTACTAACAACATCCAGCACCAATCACCATCAGCAGGAGGGATTTAACAGAGGTTACTTCCTTCACTGTGCGTTGAAGTTTTAGTAGCAATTTGGAAACTAATAGAGGAGAGGAGAAAGGTGAAAGAAAAAATGATTCAATGCAAAGATGGACAAGAGAAAGAGACGCTGAACTCAACTTACACAGCACTGGACAAAGAAGTGAAGAAGAGTGCCAGGAAGGACAAAAGACAATTCTACGACAACCTGGCTACTGAAGCTGAGAAGGCAGCAGGCAAAAGGGACCTAAGGACACTATATCAGATAACCAAGTCTCTATCCGGGAAGAGATCAACACAAGTGAAACCTATAAAAGACAACCAAGGGAACCCAATTACCAAGGAAGAAAGACAGATTAAACAATGGGCCAACCACTTCAAAGGACTCTTGAACCGACCACCACCTACAACCCATCCAGAAATACCAACAACAGCACGTACACAACTGCAAGTTGACACCAATCCTCCAACGAAAACTCAAGTCTTGAATGCAATCAAGCTTCTGAAAGCTGGAAAAGCAGCTGGACCAGATGGAATACCCCCGGAAGCACTGAAAGCGGACCCAGAAACGACAGCAGATATGCTGACTCCATTATTGCAAAAGGTCTGGAAAGAGGGAAAGGTGCCTACTGACTGGAGGAAACGTTACCTCGTGAAATTACCAAAGAAGGGCGATCTAGGACTCTGCAAAAACTGGCGAGGAATCATGCTCCTGTCAACGCCAAGTAAAATTCTGAGTCGCATCATCCTGGAGAGAATAAAGGACGCACTGGATACAGAACTCCGACCAGAACAAGCTGGATTCAGGAAAGGCAAATCATGTTCTGACCAAACTGCAACTCTACGCATCATCATCACAGAACAAAGCATGCAATGGCAATCAAACCTCTACCTCAACTTCATAGACTTTGAGAAGGCCTTCGACAGCGCTGACCGCGAAGTAATTTGGAAACTACTCGAGTACTATGGCGTACCCCAAATATTCATCAACCTTATTCAACAGCTAGCTGTACGACAACGGCACATGTCAAGTGATCCACAACGGAAAACTCAGCGAGGCGTTTGCAGTAAACACAGGAGTCAGACAAGGGTGCCTATTATCACCAATGACATTCCTAATTGTGGTGGACTGGATTATGCGTCAGACAGTGGGAAACGAGAAGACAGGGATATCCTGGACCGACGTGAAGAACCTAGAAGACCTAGATTTCGCGCGTGGATGATTTATGTTTGATGTCACACAAAATCGAAGACTTACAAGCGAAAACCGACAAACTGGTCGAAGAAGCAGCCAGAGAAGACAGGACTCCAGGTGAACATAGACAAGACGCAGGTTATGAAAATAACCAACCAACAACAACAACAGCAGCAGCAACATCCACCGCCAATCACCATCAACGGGAGGGATTTGAAAGAGGTTACTTCTTTCACTTATCTAGGGAGCATTGTCTCAACCACAGGAGGAACGGACGAGGATGTCAAATCGAGAATCGGGAAGGCGAGAAACACATTCATCAACCTGAAACCAATCTGGAAATCTTCGTCACTCAACTCAGCATCAACAACAAAATTCGGATTTTCAATACAAACGTCAAGTCAGTCAGTTCTTTTATACGGATCAGAAACTTGGCGGGTCACCAAGAATATTTCCAACAGCCTGCTGCAGACCTTTATCAACAACTGTCTTCGCTCCATACTGAAGATTAGATGGCCAGAAAGAATCACAAACAAGAAGCTATGGGAACAAACGAAACAGGAACCAATCGCCAAACAAATATGCAGGAGGAAGTGGAGGTGGATTGGACACTCGCTGAGGAGGCCGTTGAGTGACATCGCGCGTCAGGCCCTCGAGTGGAACCCGAAAGGGAAGCGGCGAGTGGGACGTCCAAAGGTGACATGGAGGAGATCATGTGAGGAGGAGATGAAACAGTATGGAATAACATGGACGCAAGTGAAAAGTACAGCAGAAGACAGAAGCAAGTGGAGACGTGCAGTTGAAGCCCTATGTTCCACTAGGAACCCAAGGGAACAATAATAATAATACCTCCTTCACTTGTCCAGCCAGGAAGCGTCGTTTCAACTATATGCGGAACTGATGAAGATGTCAAAGCCGGTCAGAATTGGAAAGACAATATACACCTTCATCAATCTGAAATCAGTTTGGAAATCTTCTGCACTAACTCAGAATAAAGAACAAGATTCGGATTTTCAACACAAATGTGAAGTCAGTCACTTCTTCTTTATGGATCAGAAAATTGGCGTGAGTGTCACGAAAAGCATTTCCAACATGCCACTGCAAACTCTTATCAACAGCTGCCTTCCCTGACTGGACAATGAAAATCAAATGGCCAGCCAGAAAGCATTAGCAACAAGAAACTCTGGCTGGTAATTGAAATTTCTGTAAAATTCACCTTTTAGCCATTGATTTTCATCCGACATATCTGTTAGAACGGACTGATGCATGCGCCAATATAATAACCTGATTGGACAGCTTTTAACTGATTTATTTTGGAGGAACTTGAAGGTCATACAGTCGATCAGCCATTGATTGCCTGTTTATGGTTTGAATTTCCATTGATGTAAAAACTATATATGTACTACATTTCGTGAAGAATAAAGGCAGTTCATATGAACTGTGATCAAGATTTGACCGAATAGTTCCAAAATAATTGGGCGTCGAATGAGAAGTAGACACTTGAAAAACTATATGTGTAAGATCTCAGCGAAATTGTATACCGCATATACGCATGTATATTTTCATATTCAGCTATCTACGACCATGAACTTTTAGTCGAAAGTAATCACTAAAATTCTGATGAAAAGTACACTCTGTTTAGAGTGTTTAACCGAAAGTACACTAATATATGAAAGTCTGAGGTCAAATTTTGATTGCGGCTCATACAATTTTGTTTATTTATTATATTTTGATGACTGTTTCATGATTCATATGATTGGACAAATCTTTTTTGAAAAACAAGAGATGTCCTTTTTATATATATACCTCTGAAGTCCATTCAGTCAAGTGTGAGGATGGATGTCCCACCGATGACATTGGTTGGTGGTCACACTAAATCACCAATTGGTAGAAGTTAAGATTCATGGGCTGGCCATTGAATCGGGTCCTGATCGGCTGAATGGTATAGGAGATCACCCAGTAATCGGAAGGACTTGGGTTGGAAACCCAGTGAGTGTGTACTACCGATGATTCCCAAACTAGTATGAAACAGCTGTCCCGCACTACCAGGTTTTCAATGGTTCCTTAACTGATAACAATCCGTGATCAACTCGTAAAAACCTCTGTTCTTTTAGTTTCGATTAATTTGCCTGAAAAAGTTTTGACCAGTTTACTGAGGGCAAAAAACGTGGGAATTACTCATGTCAATTTCGCTGAGATTTTACAAATATAATTTTTATAAAAGGTTGTTATTTTTGTTTTTGTGGTTGTCTCAGTTCAATCTAACTTATCTGTCTGTTTCAGTGTTGGGAATTATTTTCAGTTGACACGTTGGCTGTAGGTGGCGCATGGTAGGCAAGACAGACAACACCCAACACACCGTAAAAACAATATTTTTTGGCCTTGAACAGAACACTTATTATTGTGTTCTATTAAAGTAATAGAATTTCTTATTTAATTGGTAAATTTGACGAGAATACAACAACAAGCATAACAAAAAATATGAGAGTATACAGTTAACTTAGAAAAACAATAAATTTTCTTTCAGAACCAACCAACCAACCAAATGTTACATTATCATACCTGAGCTGATACAGTACGCTGAAAGCCAGTAGATGTTTCACCGTATTCATTAGAAGCTTGAATTAAATCACCCGATATGTGGGAGCCAGGTTTTCGTGTACTTATAATACCTTCATTGTAATATAGGTCAAGAGAAATGGAAAATAACGTACATTTATTTACACATAAAAATATTTTATGGAAAAAAATTGTCTAATAGAAACAGGCAAACAAAGGTAAACAGTATGTGTGTGCATGTGTATGTGCCGATAACCCTGCTAGGTATTGAATCCCAAAACCTTCAGACTACAAGGAGTACTTGTTGACAATTCAGCTACTGGATTCTTTCCCAGTGGCTGGATAATAAATGAGCTTTTCTCGTAACCTGAAGGCCGCGGTTTTGATCCACTGTAGGGTCATAGATGAGTACTGATGAACAGTCCCAAATTAGGACGAAGTGGCTGACCAGTACTTTCTGACTTTCAGTCCGTGATCAGACTTGAAACCGACTAAACTATCTATTGGGAATAAAGGTGAAATATACTGTATTATAGTCAGTGGAATTTTCAGCATTATACATGCTGCAATTCAGAATCTTCTGAACACCTTGAGCAACAATCTTCGAGTGTTTGGCATGCGATTTGCTCACTTTGTCAAATGTAAGATGATTCTACCAAAGTGGACTACATCGACTGCTAGCTGGCTTAAAGAGAGGAAAGGGTGAAGTGGTGGTTGAGCGTGTTGACCACTTCACTTATTCGGGAAGTTGCATTAGCCTCCAACAGACTGGTTGTCGACGAAATCTCAGCATGGATACAGAAATCTCGTTTGGCATTTGCCAACTTACACCATCTCTGGCGTAGACGGGATAATCGGCTGGCTGTTGACCAAAGGACGTGTGTACTGCTCAGCAGTTTACTCTATCTTCCTTTATGACTGTGAGACATAGTCACTGAAAGTGGAGGACATGAAAAGGCTGGCTAGCTGTCCTTGATCATAGATGCCTTCGTCATATCTCCAGTGTTAGATGTTATAATAGGATGAGTAGTATTGAGGTTAGGCAGGTGGGAGGAAAATACAATCGACGGGGTTGGGAAGTTACATCGATTGAGATGGTTAGGACATGTGTTACGCATGCCTAGCCATCACTTTCCTCGACGGGCAATGATACCTGACCGAGGATTAGCTGGGAAAAGAGCTAGTGGTGGTCAAACTAAAACATGGCTCCAGTAGTCAATGAAACACATACCAGTTACTTTAAGCCAGCTACTTAGAGAGGTCTATACTGCCTGCCTACCTCGGGGTTGAGGTCCTCCGGATGGTAAGAACCACTGGCTGGAAACATCTAGTGATATGGCTCGAAGTCGTTTTCAATGATCACGCAGATGCATTCACTCTTTGTGATCTGTCATATCCAATAAAAATCTATTGTTCTTCCATATTACTATTCTTTTCCCACGACTCACACTTCCGTTTGTTATATCTCACTCTTTTGAATCTCTCTTTACACTCTTTTCTTGGTTTGTATGCTATATGGAGGGAGAGTAGCAGCTGAGACTGCTGCACATGTGTACAAAGTAGTTCTATGTTGAATTCAGTCAGTCAGATATATGTGTAATAATTTATCTCCTTTTACAAAGTAGGTTTTAATAAGTTCTTTTCTCACATTTATCTGTCTTCACACAATACTCTTGCCAAATATTCTATGGCTAGATTTTTATGTTTAATATCGGTATGAGCATGAAGTTTCATAAAAATTTTCCTTTTTTTTACGAAAACAGACAGAAGGAGAAAGTTGTGGATAAAGAGGATATTCAGCATCTGACAAGATGGCTGCAGCCCGTTGATTGTAAGAATTAAAATGCCGGTCAACAACAATGCTTACAGCCATCAAAGTTATACTTAACATGACGCAGTCCTATTTGAGAGTTCCATTGAAGAGTAAAGGGGCGAAAATAAAGAATGGTTAGGATTTATGAATTTATCAATTGTAAGAGAAGAGGTTGAGTTATGTCAGAATGACTTATTTTATAAATCAATAAGATATGAGTGAGGGCCAACAAAGATTTGAAGAGAAAATAACATTAAGATGGGTAGTATCACATATCACATAAGTCATATTGTGGTGAGAGCTAGCTGCAAGCCAGAAATTGTAGACAGCAATTGACATCAGTGTTATGTCATGAGAAAAAACAATAACAAAGCTTAACCTTGAGGAACTCACCAACCAATCACAGCAGACTTAATGGGTGCAAATATGATTTGCGGATATATGGCTTAACTTTTTAAGAAACGGTCACAAGCAGTACAGAATAACCTTCAGCAAGAAAACAACCAATCAGAAGACGTTGCTTCTCCACTGACATAATATACATAAAAATCTATAAATATCTCTTAATTTCCTCAATAAATGATCTGTTGACTGGCTCTTGTCTTCTGTCTGTACAGTACGACTGAACCCGTTCACACAGGTGTTGTTCTCGACTGAAAATAAAACTAATATTCTCATATATTACAGGGTGGTGCTTATTTTAATGACCTTACGGTCACTATTACTTTGAGAGGTCCAGTTTTAATGAGTTGTAAGGTAAACAATAATGGAAAGATCTCACATCAGTTAAGATTATTCATTTTAGTAAACCTTTTGCTTTAAAACTAACTAACCACTGAGCGTTTGTCAGTTCAGTTGACTAGAATCAATAGACTATCTGCCTGAATGACACTGCTGCACGAGATAATAACATTTTTCATAAGAAAAATAAGACTGGTAATGTAAAAAATGAAAATCAAAAAAATATATTTTACTTTTTATTATTTTTTTATTCCTTTACGTTCCCAGTCAAACATAGGGTGGCTTCGAGCTAGAACTTTGAAGTTTCGGTAGCAGTGGTGTTTTGTTTTATTTTTACGGGATGGGGTTGCTAGCCTCATGCCCAGCCCTCCCTCATTATCAGCCTTACTACTAGCTTAGCAAGGTAGAGGAGTGCGTCGGCCAGGGATCGGACCCCATACCACATGCTTGGTTAGTGAGCATTCTACCGCTGTGCCACCGACGCACAAAAATAAATATTAGGGGATTCAAAACCTCGATAGTAATCCGCATAAAAATGCCGAACATCAGAATTCCTCCGCAGGATTCTTAAAAAGCATGGAATTAGAGTGATGTTGAAACCGACCAACTCAATCAGAGGAAAACTTTGTCGGCTAAAGGACCCAATAGGTCAAATTAGGGATGCAAATAGTATAAATTACCAAATCTAGGGTAATGACTGTAAGACCAATTACATAGGTCAGACTAGTAGGTCGAGGTCAATAAGATTACTAAAACATAATCATTTAACCAGATTTAGAATGACTGACCCTGCCAAATTAAGTAGTCTAGAGAAAACTCTAGCCATTGCATGAAATCATACAACAGGAAAGGATGGTGTGAAAGTATTAAAAAGTAATGTAGTTAATTGGGGGAGAGAGAGAGAGGTGAATCACGTAATCTGTGTTCATAGAATCGACACCAAGCATATGAAGCAGAAATGATGCGGCACAAGTTGCGGATATATAGAAAATTAAGATTAAAAATAACAGTCAGTAAGGCAGTGTAAAAACAAGTCATCAGATTGTGTGAATACGTTGGTGTGATAGTGAGCAACAATCAAGTGCGCTCTAAATGCTATCCAGTTACTAGCAGTGTATCACAACCGTGTGGTTTACCAAATAAAACTATCAAACTCTACTATGACATTAATAATCACACTTTTATTTGGTTTTTGACACTTTTCCTCAAACCAGCGCATACTTCATCTTACCATTAGACTAATCTCATACATCTGCCTTTGACTCTCTACCTAGGCCTTTTTTGTTAAACAAGCTTGCTGTACCCAAGCATAGTGCTGAATTACCAAGTGGTTGCATTCCTATTTTTCTGATAGGAAGCAGTACACTGTTTACAATGGAAAGTTCTCCACCGCCTACTTACTCCAGCCGGTGTTCCTCACTCAGAGTGCTGTTCCTCCTCCCCTTCTGTTTTTTTCTTCTTACATGACGATTTTGTTAAGTTTGCTGACGACGCATCTGAATGTTTCTGTGCTGGTGGTTACTTCTCAGTCAGACTGTTCCAAAATGAATAACGCTATTTATCAGAAATTAGTCAGTGGTCACTGAGGTCAAATGGCCTGAAGCTAAATTCGCCTTCCAAATGTCAGACTGTTAATCTCACTTTCGGACACAAGTGCAACTTATGTGAACTGGTTAGCTCGTATGTTCCCAATATCATATATGACAAAGAAGTTGAAACTAAATCGAATGTTAAATACCTTGGAGTGTGTATTTCCTCTGATCACCTCTCCTGGTCTTCCTACATCATGTTAGTTTCCAGAAAGATATTTCGTTATGAGAAACGCTAATAATACTTTCATTGTACTAAAAAGAGACCTACTCAGTGCGTTCTTGGAGAAACGGAACACTTAATCTCTCAATATTGAGTTTAGTTTGGGAGCAGAGTCAAATTTCAGTTAGTTAATTACTATCTAAAGAACTTTATTGTCTTCCAAAGACATAGACCTCAACAGTTCACATCCCATACAGATCAGAAACGTCAGACGATTTCAGAAGAGTACTCAGTAAACACGACATCAGAGTTTCCTTGAAAACACCGGACACACTAAGAAGCGACCTTGTTCATTGTGAAAGACCTAATTTCAATGGATTTACAATCCAGGTATCTCTGTAAAATAAAATGCCTAAAATGTGATTCAATATACTCCGGACACACCTCGGAAGAACTCAAAATCAGAAGAAATGAACACTGTAGAGCATCTGATCAAACGCGGAGAAATCCATTGGAAATAACAGAAAAAGCTTGAAACATCGTCAACCGTAAGTGTAGACGTTATAGGATTAAGTCACAAAAGTGATTTTGACAATTTTGCAATCATCCATGGAAATTCAGAAATCCCAAAGGGCACTTCACATTATATAGAATCCAAATTGTCTGAACACGAATGGTGGACTAAGAGAAAATTTGAGCTGGTCCTAACCCTTCTCTCCATGAAGTGACAAAACCAACACAGATGTGACAAGTAATTTCATTATGTAAACACACGCTGTTTTTATAATTTTATACAATTATCAAATACAACAATCTACACCTGATTTTATTATCTTTACCAATTGGCCAATTTGACAACAACATAAATATCGCATCATCCTGAAGAACGACGATTAAGTTACTGTATGTAAGCTGAGATTTCTCTAAATTTTGGTTAAATATTATCTCCTTAAAGCTATTAGTTGCATTAAATAGAGAAACATCAGTAAAAAAACAATTTTGTTGTTTTTCCATTCACTGGGAACAACAAAAACTTTTATAACAATGTCATAAATGTAACTTGTCAAAATTTAACTAACCTGTAGGAACATCAATGTAAAAACCCTCTGATTCACCACTGGCTGTATTTCTTTGATTATCTACACTGTCATACCGACATACACTGGGCACTTCCAGTGAACTTTTACGACTGGAAGAACTGTTCTCCGATTCCATAAGATTCTGTAGCCATTTGACGATAGGTTCCCATTTCTCTGGATAATTTGATAGATATTTTACTACAGCCGAATTCTGAGAAGACAATTCAACAATGAATTTTGTACATTGATAAGCTCGTCGAGGATCTTGGCTATGCTCATCATGAATTAAATCTTGAAAGAGTAAAATTGACAGAGAAAAATCAACAACACAGGCGAGTCTGCAAGTTTCTTTGAGTGAAGATTCAGGGATGAATACAGCTTATAAATCGGTTATTGCATGATAAAACCATATTTAATAACAATATGAGAAGTGGTGCTATAACAGTCTACATATCACGTGTCAGTAAAGCATAGGAACCACAGCAACAGTAGAGAGTAGACACCACAGTTGAATGACCTTGAACTAACCAATCTGATAGCTCAACATTACAAATGTATGCTTTTCATCATCTTCGTTGCAAGTGCCATTCTGATTCAGGGTTACGATTGGGGTAGGATTAAGGTACGGTTAGAGTGATACTGAGCGATCTGATTGGTTGGTTCAAGGTCATTTGCCCGTAGTGTCTATTCTTTGCTGTTGTCGAAACTACACAGAAACTTAATTCATCATTTCAATGAGGGGACATATAACTAATCAGAATAACTTCGATAACAGAGAATAAGTTCTACAACTAAGGTTGCGTATATTGTAGTTGACTTAGCAACTTCTTAACTGACTGTTTTGATACTAGTTTAAATGCTATGATTAGGCGTAAAGCTGAATTGAATTCTACTTCATTAGATCTTGCAGTTTCTTTTTTGTATAATTCATAAATCGGTGGAATGACGTGGAATGTTGATATTGAGAAGAAAACCAACCAGTTGAATTAGAAAACAAAAGGACTCAGCTACTAAAGACACCTTCACTGCGGTCAACAGTAGGATTCGGAGACACTGAGCAGCGTCACAGAGTCAACCTGTGAAGATGAACGCCCGAACATCAACACTCAGACTAAAGTAGAAGTCATGAATTCCGTAAAGTTCGTGTAGCCTGGGAAAGAGGCAGGATCACATGGAATTTCTGCAGAAGTAGTGAAAACGGACGCAGAGACCTCACTAGATATGCTGATGACACTAGTGCAAAAGGTGTGCAATGAAGGAAAGAAACCTATCAGTTTCAAGCAGGTATATCTTGTCAAAGTGCCAAAACAAAGTATCCATCCCAAGCAAATTATTTAGCCTCATCATCCTGGAGAGAGTAAAAGATGATGTGGATGGTAGATTTTATCCATAATAGACATGACCGAGGAAAACCGCGTCACGTGGGAATCAAATCACAAGGATACCTGTCACCATCAAACGGAGCTTAGAATGGCAGTCAAGTCTCTTCGTCAACTTTATCAACTCCGAAAAGGCCGTAGACAGCTTCAGCAGGGAAGTAACTTGGAAACTGCTTAAACAACATGAAGTGCCGCAAACTCTTATAAACCTCACTCAGCAGCTATATGATGATGCCACATGTCAAGTAGTTGACAACAAAAAGCTAAGTAAAGCATTCGAAGGGAAGGCAGAAGTAAGACAAGGCTGTCTGACAGTATTCATGATTGTGCTGGACTGGCTTGTGCGCCGACCTTGATTACAGTGTATAGACTAGCATAAGGTTGACTGACGAATAGGCCCTAAAAGATATGGACTCCGCGAACAACCTATGTCTCGAAGATCTACAAGATAAATCCAACACACTGGGAGAAGAAATGTGAAGGCAGGACTTCAGGTGAATGTAGGGAAGACACAAGTAATGAAAATATTTGGTGACCAACAACAACCAATCACCATCAACGGGAGGAATTTACCAGTTTCACCTACCTAGGTAGCACAATTCCAGCTATAGTCTCCTCCGAGGAAATTTATCACTATTTCTCACAGATCTGACAATACAAGTATCACTGGGTTATAAAAGAAAGCATAGAAAAGGAACCCTCTTAGACCTTTTAATACCGTCTCAATACATGTCATATAGTAGTCCAGTATCAGAAGCCTAATTGACTTACCTAATAAACCCTGAACTTGTGGCGGTCCACATTCACTTGTTTCTTGATCATTATTCTGAAACTTGGAATCACTTGAATACAAATCATTATCATTCATTTCTGTTGTACTCCAGGCCCACAAAGTTCGATCTCCGTTAGGACGTGGTGACCATATCCATTTGTTATTACGGAAGACAACTTTTTGATTAACCAAACCATCAATTACAGCTACAATTCTAGCCGGTTGAATCGAATCAGTAAGGCGTAGAAGTTCGCCGAGTAAATCAAAGTACTGGCGTAATTCACTCTGGGGACGATTACGCAGACGATCGAGTAACTAAAATTGCATCAAAAAAAATAAGTAGAACAGAAAGAGCTAAGCTGATGCCAAAGTGTCTGTGAATGATGTTCACTCTCACCATTTTCATGTAATTATACTAGTCACTAACTTTACTGTTGATATGCTCCTCTGGAGGTAACTAGGTTGTTTCAAATTGCCCAGACGGCAGTTCTTTTAGGGAAACACTTTAACAATATGCACGAAGCATACTGAACAGTCCAAATGATATTACGAGGGCGTATTGAATGCATCTACCAAAATGTTAACTTCAACTGCAATATCGATTTGCACGATATTTCATCTGACGTTAAAGCGTGATACTACCAGATACATCCGTAACTATTTCAGTCGGCTGGAATCTCACAAAATGTCGGCATGGATACAAGAAAGCTCATTTGACTTCTGCTCAAATGAACCCCCTAACAGTGCAATCAAAATGTTTGACAGAGTATCAAAAGTCATTTATGCTGAGCAGCAGTGTGGTCCGTCTTAGTATTCGACTATTAAACAAGGCCATAAAATAGCATAGTAACTCCAAATACTTCAGGTACTTTAACAGTCATCACATTCATAGTTATTCCTGAATTCGGTGAAATCATCAATTCGGTAGAAAGAAAGCCTAACAAACTCCTAGGCGAGAAAGAACATTCAGTCAAAGAGGTTCGGACCATCTAGGTTTCGTGTTTGTCAGCATTCATCTGCAAGGCGTACCTGCAACCTTGAAGGAGCTAATGTCCCTCTTGAGATCCGAACCTGGTCGCTCAGTATTGAAGTCAGAAGGGACATGAGTTCCTACAAGACTGCAGATACGCCGTGCTGAATACTCCCAACAAACACGAAACCCAGGTTCAAGGATTCCTGCCAACTGTCACAAACCATATGTAATAAGAATTCAGAGTTCACCATGATGGTGAGCCGCCTAGAATGGTGGCTACATTGTAGACCTGACTGATAGAATTCCGTCTGTATCATGGCACTGGTTACTGTCTAGTGTCCAGTCAAAGAAGTTTGAACTCTCCATCCCTTACGGTTGAATCTAACTGCTGATCACCCCGTCTCGTTCACTGCGACTACTATAAGCTTCAGTTGGCGACTTCGTGTGATATCACTCAGCAATAGCAGCAGTAGCACAGGCATATACATGCTTCGTCCTACTGCAGTCGTTCGTTATTTCATTTCCATTTAAACGATTTATTTCCTCTTTCCCCACTTTATTAAATTAAATTGTCTTATTTTCAAGAGGAAATTTGTAAGGAATTGATTTGTTACAAGTTTGATGACGGATTGACATCGATTAAAGAACCATTGGAAACCAGAGAATTATTGGACAGCCGTTTCATCATAGTTTGAGTCCCCTCGACAGTACGCATCCACCTCAGGGGTTCGAACTTACAACATCCAGTCACAAGGGAAGCTCAGAGACTATTCAGCCAATCGGAACCGACTCAGTAGCCAGTTCATGAATTCCAACTGCTACCAAATCGTGATTTTAGCGTAACTGGCACCACCCAATGTGACCAGCGAGTATTTGTCCTCATGCCTGACCTGATAGACCCCACTGATCACGACTTCTCACCAGAACTCTGGGAAACTTTGTAATGTCACCAGTGAGCATCATACTAATTTTCAGCAATGAGTCTGTTGGGACTCCATTTGTTTCGATTCACTCTCCAAAACTGATGGGATGCTCACTAGTGACTGACTGAATGACGAGGTTTTCTGGAGTTCTGGTGAGAAGTCATGGTTAGTGGAGTCCATCAGGTTGAGCGTGAGGACAAATACTCGCCGATGACATCGACTGTTGGTCACACTTGTGACTGTAAGGTCCTAGGTTCGTGCCCCAATGGATACGTACTGATGAAGAGTCTCAAACTATGACGCAACGGCTTTCCAATACTACCTAGTTTCCATCGATGGTCAAACTGGAACTGTCTTATTTTAATCCCTGTGCCTCTCTTGATATTATTTTTCACTTGATGCACACATAAAAGCTGTTAAGATTTCTACAACTTGAAGAAATGTGAATTTCCATGTTGATAATGTCTATCCGTTTGACTATATCTTTTAATTTGCATACATTTTAACCAATGAAACAAGAAAAACCAAATTATCTAATGTTTAACCTACAGCTATAATGAAACATTGAGAAGCATCCCATGAATTGGCAGACAGATGTATCATCAGTTCACGAATTCTCTGCCTCAGCGAAAGAGATTCACTTCCAGATACTGTTGATGAATCACTTGAACTTGCAGCAACACCGGTTGCTGATACACTTCCACTATTGTTCATAGTGGTCGTAGAAGCACCACTACCAGTCGCTGATGAAGCATAGACAGAGAAAACTTGATTTCCGATATCACCAAGAACAAGTGATGAATTTAAGCTTGGTATAACAGGATTGTCTATATAGGCTTTTAAAAGGACTTCACACAGCCTAAATAATCCGACAAGTTGAGTAGAGTATGGCTTTGTTGTACTGGAATTATCACTGGTGGTAGTTGGATGAACCTGTGATACAGGAGGCTGTACAACACGATTCGTCAATGGTGGAATAGATAAACCAAGCCAAAGGACAGTCTCCTTTTGTGGACGAAGTAAGAGACGACTTTGCGAAGTTTGACGGTATGCCAGTGGCGGATGAGCAGGAGCTCCATCATGAAGAGATGGAGTATCTATATCAAAATAAAAATAAAAGTTTAATATATGAGTGAAGAAGACGGCAATAGAATGAAAGACAGCCTCCAGGATACATTTTCCATCAACGAAGCTATTATAGTGACATTGAAGGAAGACCATCGGCCCTGTTAACAATGGGATATAAAACGCTGAACGAATCAGTGGAGCAGATAATTTAACCAACTAACAAAGGAAAAAATCCATGCCAGATAATGTGTAGAAAGTTGAACCCACCAATCGACTGCAGACACAAAATAAATCACACGTTATTTCCAGGCTGGTGATCGGTTATCATTGAAAACCGGAATAAATCTTTAATCCTATTTGTAGTCGTTGTAAATTCTACCGTAAAAACAACACACTGGTATTTCGCAGTGGAATTATTTATCGACAAATTGACATAAAATTCTGATTCTGAATTAACTTCAGTTAGAGATCCATTAAAGTCCACGGGGTATTGGACAGCTGGTTCTTTCTTCTTTGGGACTTTTCACAGTACTACGGGATGCCGCCTACAATTATACACCTCATCCAACAGCTGTACGACAGTGGTGCATGCCAAGTAATCCACAAAGAGAAACTCACGTAATCCTTCGAAGAAGTGAAGACAAGAGTAGAAAAAGCTGGCTGTCTACTATCTCTAATGAGTTTTCTGAAAGTGGTAGACTGGATAATGCGACAAACAGCGGGCAGCGGGGAAACAGGAACAAAATGCACTCACACAAGAAACTTGGAGGATCTGAACTTCGTCGATGATATATGTCTGATTTCCCACAAACTAGAAGATATGCAAGTGAAAAGCAACAAGTTGGCAGGAGAAGCATCCAGAGAAGATAGGACTTCAGGTGAACATAGATTAAACAGAGGTGACGATGAATATTCCTGGCCACTGGCAACAGCCACTACAACAACAACAAACAACAGACAGCATTCAGCACGAATGGGAGAAATCTGAAAGAAGCAACCTCACTTACCAACCCAGCTACGTGGGAAGCACCGTTTCAACTACAGGCGGACGGAACTGATGAGGATATCAAGGCGAGGATTGCGAAAGCAAGGCGAGCTTTCATTACTCTCTATTCTGTGTGGAGGTCAACAACACTGAGCACGAAAAACAAGATCCAGATTTTCAACTCCAATGTGAGGTCAGTGCTACTTGGCCCCGCGCCACGTCACGAAGGGCAATTCGAACAAACTACAGACCTTCATCAACAGTTGTCTTCGCTCAGTACTTCGCTCATGATCAGATGGCCAGCCAGAAAAGATCAGTAACAGGATGGGATTTCTGGCAAAGAACGAATCAACTCAGCAAGCACCGATTGTGCATCAAATATGCAGGAAGAAATGGAGAAGGATTGGTCATACCCTGAGGAAAGCATCAAGTGATATCACACGCCAGGCCATTGATCGAGTGGAACCCGAACGGGAAGTGGCGAGTTGGTCGTCAGTGCGATGATGACATGAAGGAGGAGATCATGTGAAGAGGAGATGAAAGTATGTAGGCAGACATGGAGTTAGGTGAAAACGTTGGTGGAGATGTGCGTCTGAAGCCCCATGTTACTCTAGGAATTAAAGGAAACAATAATATAATGATAATTCTTTCTTCCTCCTTCACATTTCTGCTTATTATTGTTCCTTTGAATCTCTTCTCTTCTGTCTTTTGTCTTCCTTTGTGTGCTGCATGGAGTGTAGCACCTCGAAATGCTGCAAATCTGTGCAGAGTTCCATGTTGAAACAAGTCAGTCAGTCATACAGCACACTACTCACAAAATCTTATCAGTAAAATCTGCTATACGACAACTACTAATCAATACGAGACAAAATGAATAAAATGACAACACTGAAGCGCTTATTCATTCAGTTGAGTTGGCTAAAGATGATCACAGCGAATTGCGCACACAAACAGATACCTTGTTTGACAATATTATGATCCTTTACATGTCTACTTGCCTGCTAAATTCAAGTAAGATGGTAGAAAAATTAGTGTGTATTCAGAACATGACCTTTACAGATCTACTGTTCAAATTCATAGCTCTTCCTGCATTTTTTAAAAACACTTTTTTTAACTAAGATTCCTGGTTCCTTATCGAACTGAAATAAATTTACTTGCCAATTGACTTAAAAAGCCGTTTTTTTTAAATAAACCGCTTGTATGCGGTACAAACCATTTTAAACAGTTGTCTCAATGGCGGAAATTTGAAAAAAAATAAATTATTGGAAACACAATCAAAAAGACGATAGTACACGGATTATTATTATCACCGTTATTTTCTTAAAGATGATAAATGGTTAAAAGTAAATACGGAAACTTGTAATTACTTTTTATGCCGACAAAATAACATAAATACTGACGGTGAATTCAGCAATTTAAACATTTGGATTACATACCATAATCGATGCTATTCAACCCTTAATAATAGTGATAATAATAACTTCTGATAGTGTTGTCTGAGCTAGTCAGGTTATCAACCAACAAAGAATATTATGCGAATTGACAACTGCATAAAACTTGCCCACAATCATATCATTCGTAACTACACAACTACTAGACAGTAGCACTTGATAAGTCAAACCTGAAAATGTTATTCCAATGGATAAGACAACTGTAGATTATGTAAGAGCACAATATGGATTCGTACTACGATGATGGAAAAGATGACAACATTACTTAACCAAATCAGAAACGGAAGCCCTACGAAACTTTAATGATAAAAATAAGGAAATATTGAAGGCCAAAACCTCGCCTACTTTACTATTTCACTAGTTTTTCAGCGTGTCCTCAATAGAACTACAGACACGAAATGACGCAAGCTGGTGAAATCCTTTGGGAAGCAAGTCATCTAGCCGATGTGTCTTCTTTCGATGAAAGCAAAAATAAAAGTCGTGACTTGGAATATTCGCTCTGTTTACGAAGCTGAAAAGATTGCCCAAGTAGCCGAAGAAGTGAGAAAATATGTTATGGAAGTGATTGGAATCTGTAAGTGCAGGTGAAATGGATATGGCCTATCCAAATTGTCAACTGGAGGGTCAATAATCTACTCCGATCACCTAGAAGACATACACGAGCACACTGAGGTAGTGAGTGTCTACCATTATGTCACCAACAGCAGCCAAAGCTTTCCCAGGATTATGACAGAAAGATTCAACTCCAAAGGAAGGAAGGTAACAGTTATCCAATGCTACGCACCTACAAACAACGCGGAACAAGACAAGAAGGAAGGGTTTTACAGGCAACTGCAAACAGTATTCGACAACATTTCAAAAGGTAACATCAAAGTCCTAGTGGGAGGTATGAATGCCAACCCAAATGGAAGTGGACAGTATGAGAAGAGAATTCATCATGGGTCAAGAGGCTCTCGATTGCCAAAATGACCGAGAACAAAGAACTTTTCGCAGACCTCAGCGGGTTCAATGATTTGGTGATCGGAGACAGCGTGTACAAACACAAAGATAGACCAAAGCCAACATTGATTCCATCTGACAGACATACCAAATATCAGATAGACTTCATCTCAATGCTACTTCAGGAAGTGGAGATGCAGCATGTTGGACACCAGTTCGAGAAGTGGAGTAAATGTGAGCCCAGACCATCATCTAATTCAAGGAAACTTCAAGGTGAAGCTGAAATCCACGAAAGCAAATGGAGACAGACCACTGTAATTCAAGTTCAACATTCAAAAACTGAAGGACAAAACTACAAAGGATACCTTCAATACAGATCAGAACAGAGAAAAGTCGGAGACACTAAATGGTATCACTGAGGAAACGTGTGTGTGTGGAAGAAAAATGGAACTGTCTGTAGGTGATGTTCAAGGAAACGTGTACAACTATTCTAGGAAGAAAGAAGAACAAAAATCGGATTTTCAATACCAATGTTAAGTCAGTCACTGCTCCTATATAGGCTAGAGACGGGTCGGGTCACCAAGAGCATTTCCAACAGACTACTGCAGACTTTTATCAATGGTTGCCTCCGCTGGCTCCATAATGAAAATCCAGTGGGCAGAAAGAATCAACAACATAAAAGCTGCGAGAGTAAACCAAACAAGAACTTATTGCTCAGGAGAAAATGGAGATGGATTGGGCATACTCCGAGGAGACAGTCGAATAACATTGCGCGACGTGATGGCTCACGAGTGGAACCCGTATGGGAAACAATGAGTAGGGCCTGTGTCTGAGGGTAACATGGAGGAGATCGTACGAAAAGGAGATGAGAGACCATGGTCAATCGTGGGGCCAACTAAACAGAACCGAAAAATATAAGACAAGATGTAGATGTGCTGTTGAAGCCCTATGTTCCACCTGGAACCCAAGGGATTAATCATAATAAAATAACTGCTAAATCTAATAATTCAACAGTGGTATTAGACAAATCAGATTACTTTGCAACGGTGAGTGTCCATATATCGACGGTGAGTCCAAATGGTTCAATTTAATGCTCAAAATTTAGTAACTTCAATGGGAGGTGTGATGTTGTCAAAGTTCATAAACCAAGATACCTCATTAGACCAATATTTCAACTTTTGAATTATTTAAATACTCAGCTATGGCAACAGATCCGATTAGAAACCATTTGAAATTTAGATTTATTGATCCTTATTATCTTTAACAGAGATTGAATAGTTTACAATTAGGTGTGGAAGAAAAATGTTTAGTTTCAGTACCATCAGTTTATATACACAAGTGTCAACAAATATGACTATAAAAATAAACAGACAGAAACTTGGAATCAGAACCAAAGTAACAACAGAAGACATAATGTTAGCAATGCAGCTGTGTCTGACATCTACAGTATTTAAATTTTAGAGAAAATCATATATAAATAAGTTTAGGGAGTTCTCATGGGGCTACCTATGACTCAAATTTTAGCAGATGAATTCCTTGATGGTGGGAAAGAGTCAGCAAGTGAAACGTTCATCTTCACACTCAAAATATGAAGAAGGTATGCTGATAGGTTTTCTTGGACAAATCTCAACAACAGACAGAATTCAATTCAAGTGCCAGTTTACAGGGATTTGATTGGTCACAGAATTTCATCGTGAGCTGATATCAGTTACAGCATTGGACAGCCAGTTGTTTCATCAGCCTAGTTTTAGACTCTTCATCAGTACGTACCCACCGCCAAGGTCCTAAGCCAGGACCTTCCGGTTATACGGTAAGCTAGCTCTTAGACCATTTAACCACTGCGACCCGATCCAATGGTGATTACATGAATTCCAACTTCTGCCAATCCAAGACATAGCTACCGAAACTTCAAGCCTCCAGCTTGAAGCCCTATGTTCCACTGGGAACATAAAGCAATAAAAAAATCGATAAGCATGTCAATCAAGAATGAAATGAATGACAAATATACGTATAAAGATAACAACAATAATAAGTAACTTAAAAAATCAATAGTGCTTCCATACAAAGACAGAGCCCATGAAACTTTTCGGAAGTCGTTTGAGGAGGATAGAATAAGAGTAGCATTCACTCCCACAAACGCAGACACAACTTCTGCCGGCCAGAGGATCCCTTAGACCCTTTTAAATAAACTAATCTAGTGCATCGAACCAACTGAGAATACCTGCAATAGTAGCAACTCAAAACCTCTTCTAGGCAACTGGGGAATTCTACTTTAGCCTGCAACAAATGGGAAGGAAGAACAAGGACCATAAGAATCAAGTTTCGAAGTTCTGTAGTTATAACTGATATGATTATGAAAAACAGTTAGTTTACAGGTATTGGTTTTTGTATGAGATTGTGTTTTACTGGTTGGAGGGTTTTATCATGAGCTGATATCAATTAGAGAACCATTAGAAAACCTGCAGGGAGTGCTGCCAGACAGCCGTTTCCTACATCCTAGTTTGAGACTCTTCAACAGTATGCACCCACCCCTGTTCGAAACTAGGACCTTCTAGTTACAAGGCAAGCTAACGCGTAGACCACTGAGCCACTGGAAACTGATCCAATGGCCCATGCATTCTAACTTCTGCTAATTCACGATATAGCCAGACCACTCCGCAATGTCTTCTTCGATTAACTGTCTTCGAAAAGTGATCCAGTAAATAATACTGTTTCGCTATGTAACATGTTCAGCAAACAAATTATCATGATGACTGAATACTCTCCAGCTTATATTTCATTTGTATTATAAACTAAACAAATCGCATAGTGGAAGTATTCAGCAACAACTGCACACTAATCGCTTTATAGCTGGAAGACGGCTAAACTTGCTTACGATTGCTAATGCAGGTTTGTTTTGGCTCATTGGCCATTCAACACACCGAGCATCAATCTACAGGAGTATAGCGCTCCAATTGACTTTCTTAACTTTTGTTTGTTGAAGCTCAGTAAACTACAGTGCATGTTTTCCTGAGAATCGAAACTGTTTTACCCATTTTTTTGAAGGTGGAAGCATAAACTTTACATTCACGTCATTGATATGCCGACTGACCGCCTACGAAATCGGATAGTAAAAGACATAGCTAGGCACAAATCAATGACACAGTCCACCAACCAACAGTATACCTACATAGCTAACAACTAATTGATCACTTATTTCAGATTCATTTGTTATTATGTTTATGATAAATTGTTGGGGGAAAAAAAGATGCGAGAGGAAAAATCATTCCGCTATCAAAGCAGAAAAAGAGAAAACTGAAATATTAGACTAACAACAACAAAAAATAAATGAATATAATGGTATGTATAGCCTACCTGGGATTCTGTAGGCATCGAAGGATGTTTGACGCAAGAGTATTGTAAGCAGATAGTATAGATTGCCCATTTCTCTTTGTTGTGCTGGACTCCATACACGTAATTTATGCGTCTAAAGGATAAAAACCAGTTATTTACTACTTTTTAATTCATTCAGTAATAAGAACAGAGGAAATAAAATCGGATGAAGTAAAAAGGACAATAAATAAAGCTTAGTGACTTAGAAGACTATTTTAAGAAATCAGCTATATATAGTAGCACTGGCTTAAGTTTAATCATGAATTCATATCATTTAGAGAGACGTTGAAGACCAATGTGTACTGGAGAGATGTTTCATCCTAGTTTTGGGATCGTTCAGGGAACGAACCGTGAAACTTCAAGCTACTAGGCTGAGGTCGTTGACCGATCAATCACGTGGACCGGAATTCAGTTATTCCTGAACTTTAACTTTTATCAATTCACGACTTTAGTGTGACCGCTAGTCAATGGTATCAGAGAGTATTTGTCATTACAGCCAGTGTGGTGGATCCTACGCGTCACAACTTATCAGTGATAGTGTGTGTGTGGAATGAAGTTCACTTGGGTATCAGTCAATCATCCCACCAAAATGAAAACCACCATTGAATTAAACACCTTATTCATTTATCCGTTCAGTCAGTCAGTCAGTCAAATAGGAAACGCTTTCAGTATCGCTTAGTTGGACATTGAAACATAACTAAAAACAAAAACAATGGGATCATAATTAGCTAAGCGAAATTCGTAAATATTTTATAAATCAGTGTAAAAATGAGTAAAATATGCTCATTTTCGGAGTAATGACATTCACTCATTTACGGAAATCTTAATAATGTTGAAATCATTAGCATAATCGATTAGTTATACCGCTGGTAAATAAAAATCAGCATTTCAACTAGGATAACTAGGCATACTATTGTTAGTATTCCCTTAAGTCTTGAGTGGAACAAAGGGTTTAACTAGCAGAACCCTATTTCATCCCGTTCTCTGCAGTCTTCCTCCTCCAAACGATCTCCTCCACGCCACTGTCGGATGCCCAACTCGTCATTTCCCATTCAAGTTACACTCGATGGCCCACCCGACGTGTGATGTCACTCAACGGTCTCCTCAAGAGATGTTGAATCTATCTTCATTTCTTTCCGCAGGGAGGTATGTTTACACACTGTTTAGGCTGTCATAGACGATTGAGATTAAAGTCTGCAGTGTGATCACTGGAGTAAGTGAAACGACTACGCTTTCCAGCGTTACAATACACCATTGAAAGTGGATGATTCGCCAAACGCTAGCCACTACTATTCAGTTGTGAAGTTTATTCCCTATCACCCAGTACCCGAGTGCTGAATACCACTTTTCAGCCATAAGGGCGGTAGGGCACGATTTGGATCCTCCCTAACTTTGACATCGAGTAACCCAAATCGGAATAGTAGAAATCGAGTATCTCTCAAAGCGTGGATACCTCTTTCTAACAGCTACCAAATAGGCGCAAAACCTATATTCAGCCCACCCGTTTAAGTGCGGTCAAGCATTCCAGAAGTACTACAACTATGAGATGATAGCATTTCCGCCTCTATTACAACATTCTGATATTCGGTGGTATAGCGGTTATGACTCTCGCCGATCATGCACATAGTCCGAGGTTCGATCCCCTGCCGACGCACACCTGTTATCAATGGTCGGCCTGCAAAATTTGGGCTACCGATATCACATGCTGAAAATTCCATACCTATATCAAAAAATACGATGTGGAATCAGGCTACAATAAAAAAAATCAAAATATTCTGTAATTCAAATGAATCTTTTATTTGGACACTTCAAGACGCTTAGCATAATCGAGAATTCACGCTGTTGTCCATCAAGTTTATCTATACACTGCTTTCATTTTATTTCTTCTTGTGGTGGTGTGATACAGACAATGTGTACCAACGGAATGTTATTCTCACATATTCGCACGGTTAAGTTCGGCAATAGCAACAAAATACAATATATCTGTTTGAACATTCTATTTCATGTCGTTTAATGTAGACCGAAATCACAACTCTTAGTGACTGGTTAAAGAAATATAAACTATATATATATAAACAGTGGTTTGATCAATAAAAAAATATACCTTGGCTCCCGTGTCTTGCCTTCTGTTGTTACACTTTGAGTTCCAAGTGGAATATAGAGCTTCAAGCTTGAACTTTGAAGTGAAATTTTTTACGGAGTTAGGCCGCCAGCCTCGTGCCCACCTTACTTGTTTACCGGGTTTAGCTACCGGCTAAGCGGTGTTAAGGAGGGCATCAGCCACCGAGGATCGTTCCTCCGACCACCTGTGTATTCTGTGTGTAAACCGCCGGCTCACGCATGCAAAATACTACTTGGCAATGCCTAAACACAGTGTGTACGGTACTCATTTTATGAAGATAAGTCTATTAATGAAACTAGCATTTACTTTGTAATTAATAATAATTATATGCTTCACAAGCGTAAACATACCCAGTCTGGTGCACTCCCCGTGAAAGAAGAATAACAGTCAGATGGCTCTGTAGATGTCGCTGAACTGGAAACATTCGGATCAATGAAAAAGTTCAACAGTCTTTTAGTTGCTTTTAAATTAGACAAGTGTACGGTGGCATGTGGACACATTTCAGCATAACCTCGAAGCATAGCGAATAACGCGCCGGCTTCTGTTAAGTGTTCAGCTATTTGTCCATTATCAAATAAGCCAAGTAGGTAGTTGATTAGACCTGTCAATGCACCATCAAGCTGCATAAAAAAATTGTAGATAAAACAGAAAACAAAATCAATATAATTTCCATTGACTACACGTCAACCAATTCAGTAAACTGGACATGCTTCCTACTAAATATACTAAAAATTTAATCTCAGCTAGACTAACTGGTGATCACACATGCAATCGAAATGTTAAGATCTGAAAATTCTGATCAATAATTAATTCTGCTATTGAACAACTCACAGACATTTATTTTATTTTTATTCATTTACGTTTATTTTTACAGGATGGGGTTGCTAGCCTCATGCGCAACTTTCCCTTCTTACCAGTCTCATTACTGGCTCAGTGAGGTGAAGGGGTTCGCCGGCAGCGGATCGGACACCGAAACACATGAGGTGTGGTTGGCGAGTATCCTGCAGCTGAGCCACCGACGCACACATACTTATTTAGTAATGCACTGAATCCTGTGTGTTTATTGCGAAACTGAATCAGTTGAGTACGACTGGGAATTTTTTCGATTACATATCGTTCACAAATTCTCTCCTTCATTGCTGTATACGATTTCAAAGCAGCTAAAAGCTTTTTGGTGGCAACTTTTACAGAATAATAGATGTTTTCGAGTAACCTTTATAGACCTAGCAAGGACTGTATATAAAGCTCCACTTACACACTAGAAGCTGAGACTGAAACAGAGAATTCTGTTTTGAAAAACACTAAAGTTGAAAACTATTCGGACCTTCACCCTCTATTGGGTTCACTACCAGCCAAGTGTGGACAAAGACTATATCGGCGGCCGGAAATCGAACCAGGACCTCATGAATGGTTGGGAAACATTCTACCATTGATCTACCGAAATCTTGCCCATAGATTCATTAACTGCGCTTATGTTATTCAAGATAAGCGTTAAAATAAGAGCAATCTGCTCGGATGAATGTATTGCTGAGTGAAAACAATTGTCCAGAAAACGTCATTGATAAGAATATGAATCAAAAATCAAGACAGCCCAAGGTACCAACAGTTCCAAAAAAGGCCTTATTCTTACAAATTCAGTTCCTCGGGTATAACATCAGCGATATACTAACACAACGCATTAGGAATGCGGTAAAAACAGCATTTAGTTCTGCTGGTTTATGCAGTTTCTTCGAAACCAACACTGTTTTGCGTTCGAGAATAAAAGATAAACTTCCTAGTTTCGTCTCTTCCATGTGTATCCACCAATTTGACTGCTCCTATGGAGCCAATTAGTTACATAGGTCGTACAATTAGCCGTGTTTCTCGTCGGATTTCTGAACAACACCTTGCATAGTGGTTAAGTAAAGGATAAATAAAGTTCATTCATAGCTCTCTTGTATCTCATCTTGTGGATGGAGAACACAAGACTGATGTCAAAAAGGAGGCTTTCAAAGTCATCTACCGCATACCAACAAATCTTAACTTCGTTTACTAAATATTGCTGAGGCCGTTGGGATATACATTAAGAAGCCTATATTGTGCGTCCAAAAGAAGTTAGTTCAGACATTATCCTTACCTTGGACATTTAGATTTGAATGATCCTGAATTTTTGTGGAATTTTCCTAATTTTAGTTGATATTCTATATGCTACTAAATCTTTATTATTATCATAATTTAAGCATCTTTAATGAACTGTAATTCCATTGTGATCTTACTTGACAAATCGATTTTATTTAAAAAACACTAATATTGGTATTGACTACTAATCTAGAATATTCTGCGTATATAAATATGTATATACATTTGTAGAGCCAGAAGAGGAAATTATCGAAAAGGATATTCTTTGCTCAATTATTTTGTGTTTTATAAATGTCTGGATGAATATTTTCGTAATATTTTCTTTACGACAAATACAACTTCCTGGACATCAATTAATTTACCTTCCAGGTGCTAAAGACACGAGTGAAAACATTCGTGAAAATTCTGACTGTGTTAGTTTTATACCAAAATACTGAATCTCTTAATTAGTCTACTTTCAAGACTTGGTTTTTAGGGATTTAATCTATTTTTCAAGTATGATCATGGGTTGATATCAGTTAGGGAAACATTGAAAACCATCAGAGAGTACTAGACAGCTGTTTCGTCCGCCTAGTTTGGGACTCATAGGCCATTGAATCGAATCTCAGTGGATGAATAATGTACGAGCTTGCCTTGGTACCCGAAGGTGCTGGTTCCGTACTTCTCTACTTTCAATGAGTCCCAAATTAGGACGAAACAGCTGTCCTAGCCTATTTATACTTATCTGGGCCACTTCAACATGTGTTTACAATATCACCTGTTGCTGTAGCGCTAGTTATATTGGCCGCACATGGCGCACATTTTCCAAAAACATCTCTAAACGTCATTCGAGTGACTTCTCTGGATATTCCGCAACGATTTTTCACCAAGTGATTCAGTGATTTGAAGATGGCGAGGAAAGCAGTGGGACTGCAATCACTGAATCACTTGGTGACAAAATCTCTGAAAATTATGCCGCAAAACAAGTCAAATATTAGCTAAATCCTTAAACACCTGGTGAACGTCAGCCACGCAACTCCCTCAGAGTCCCCCTTTAATATTACCTCCATGATGAGACTGAATGGTATAAGGGGTGTTAAAGTTCAACATTTGTGTATGGCGGAAGCACGACTGATCACATTCGTGAGGACTCAGACACTTTTATTTAAAAATCTTGACCTTAAACGCTCTCCTACTTGGTTGCTTTTGATTTGGTATAGTAATTCACTGACTACGTCGACAAGGCAAATATTCTTCTTGACTGAATTGTTTTTTTTTTAGTTTTTGTCTTGACCTACTTTTATTTTAGTATTCTATTCATATTGTTAGAGATATAGAATTACAATTATTTAGCTAATGCAAGTTTAACTATTTCGACATGGTATCACAGAGCAAGAGATGTGCTTACTTCATAAGAACTTCCTATTAGGAAATACAGGAAACTGAAACAAGTTATTCAGCACAAAGACACCTTTCAAAGAATGTATTATCAGGTTGTCCAGTCATATGTGTATGCTTTTTCTCAATAATAATGTGAATCACGACAAAATATGTACTTAAAACCTATGAAATTCGTCTATATCCAAGAGAACGGAACATATCAACCTTGAAAAGGAAAATTGGCTGTCAACTTTCTTGAAATAGGGATCTTACAGTTCACGGAAAGGACATTCCCTGTAGCATCGTTGACAGCAGTGTTTGTTAGTTTACCTTGGGGGGGGGGGAAGATTCCCCAGTTAACCAGGTCCACGTGTGCTCAACAGTTCACCTACTGCTCTAGAGCCAGGTGTATCAGTCGTTCAAGGTGGGTTTCTTTCAATAGGATGCAAAAACACTATCCAACTTGGTTACAACACAGGTGGAAGCGTAATAATTGGTTACGCCTTATCTCTACAGACTGTGCCATTAGAGTTCTTCATAAAGCGGAAAATAGGCTGTCTCACTGCCGTATCATGTCCGGTTCACGTGTATCCCTGAAGCTTTTGCTATCGAGATAGAAAAGCCTTAGCTTCGTATGCCGGATCAAGTTTGTTCAAACACTCCTTCCACCATGATCCTAATCTATTTTTGTTAACCTACTATGATTACTATTTCTAACTTGGCCCTATTTACTTTCCACTTTGTTTTTTTTCAATACGTATATCCTTCTCCTGTTACTTCAAGCGTTATGATTAATTTCACTGTTAACAATTTCCGGTATTAACTCACTTATCATTGTTATTTATTTATTCAAATATAATTTTTTTGCAATGCTGTTTTGCCATAATTCTCAACTTGTCACATAATTTGCGACTGACTGAGATGAGTAGCTGAACACCATTCATATCAACCAGTAGTGCCTGCTAGCCAGATAGCCATGATCTAAACAACGGACGGTCGTTTCGCTCGTTTTGGGCCGAACTCATCAGTGGTGCATCCAATTTGACTCAGCTCAGAGACACGGTCGAATCGGTTCAAACTATTCCATTTTTGGTTAGCTCCTTCGACGAACGTGCGACACCATAAATCAAATTCACAATTTACGAATCGGCTAGCGATTTGAGTAACGAAATTTCACCGTTTCACCAAGTATTATGTTATTATTGTTATTATTGTTTCCTTTAGTTCATAGAGGAACATAGGGCTTCAAACGCACGTCTCCATTGCGTTCGGTTCTATGCCAACGTTTTCACCTGGCTCCACATCTGCCACCCACATGCTTTCATCTCCTCTTCACATCACCTCCTCCTTCATGTCACCCTCGCACTCACAACCAACTCGTCGCTTCCCATTTGAGTTCCACTTGAGAAAGAGAGCCTGGCGTGTGATGTCAATTGATGGTTTGTTTTCTCAGAGTATGACCAATCCACCTCCATTTCTTCCTGCATATTTGTTGCATTCTTAGTTCCTGCTGTGTTGGTTCGCTCCCAGAGATCCCTCTCTGTTGCTGATCTTTTCTGGCCATCTGATCTTGGGCGAAGTATCGAGTGAAGACAGCTGATGATGAAGGTCTGTATTTTTTCTGAAGTGCCTGCAGCTTGTTCTTCTTCGCTTGCCATAGCTTCGTGAAAAATTGTCTTTTGTCTTCCCCGGCACTCTTCTTTACTCTTTTGTTCAGTATATTGTAGCTTGCATTCAACTCCTGTTTTTGTTGCTGGTCAGTGCACTGGATAATCTTTTTCTGATTGCAGCGTGATTCCACACAGTATTTTTGGTACAAGTATGAAATTCTCAGCATGTGATATCGGTAGCCCAAATTTTGCAGGCCGACCACTGATATTAGGTGTGCGTCAGCAGGGCATCGAACTCCGAACCATGTGCGAGTCCTAACCACTGTGCCACCGACGCACCATCCTTCTCTCTTCTATTAGTCTCCATGTGTCTGGAGTAAGCCACAGTTTGTCCTGTCTCTTCTTTCTGCCTAGAACTTCCATGCAGGTTTGAGTCCACACCGCTTTCAGTCCACGTAGCTAGCCACAAATCGGGTGGGTTGAACTGACTCTGCTTTCTCTCTGAGCTAAGATAAACTGGGTCCATTGATGATGAACTCGACCTCAAACGAATGAAACGGCCGTCTCGTGGTGTTTAGATCACCTCGATCTAGCTGGTAGCCAAGCTCTATTGGTTAATATGAATGTTACGCAACTACTCATCTCAATCAATCAGTAGTATGTATAGTTTTATGCAAATTTGCTCTCTTTCTTGATTACCATTTGCGGTATCAAGCAGACCACATGCTGTCATGACTTGAATAACTTGACTTCCAGAGGAAACTACGTTGAAATTTTGTCACTTGAACTGTGTAAATTGCAAGTTGCTAACCAATTTGAAAATTGTGAATTTGATTTGTCGCCTACTGACCTTATTAATTCTACATCCCCTTCCAATATGTACATACTTCATGAGCTGTTTAATAAATTACATAACCCACTAAGGAGCATGATAATTCGTGGATGGTGACTGGCAGTGGAATCCAGGATAACGCTCATTTAGTCCTATTTGGGACGCATCATCTGGAATCACCTGCATTCCTAGTGAGTGATAATGTTCCTACCAAGGCTCGAACCTAGTGACCACTGTTTCAAACGCCATAGCGTTCGTTATCCACTAGACCACTTAGGCCACGAGAGGCACCGCTTGTTCAACGGGTCATATTAATTATTTAATTGAATTTTAGATTTTCCCGTAGATTGATTGGATTCCACTGTTAGTCACCATCCATTAATTCACTTCTAATTACATGCACAGACATCGTCGAAGCATCTGCACAAGAAGCCGATATGTCAACCTGAAACCGAGCACTTCGATCCAATCAATCGACGGGAAAATCTAAAATTCAATTAAATATGTAGCATGATGTTTAACTACCATTATACTCAGCGGTATTTTGTTGCGATTCATATTATTTCAAAAACAACAAAAAATCAAATCTATGTATATCTACAGTTGTAGAGCTTGATAGTGTATTGGTTCAAAAGAGTTTCTTCACTGAATCACTTATTTTGACTTTAATTTACGAAAAATACCCATCAGAACAGGAATATTAAAAAAATATAGTTCAGGGAACAGTAGTCCCCTTTTCGTCGACTAATTCATTCACCTAAGTGTACACAGTCGCAGTTATATACAATTATTTCTGTACGTGTGTGTGCATAAATTAGGTTTGTCAGTTAAGAATAAAAATTTGTTAGGCTTATTGTTTATATCATCAAATTATTTCCAACATTGTGATGAATAATCAAATTGTAGCTAGGCGGGGGGCTTGAAGATTAGTGAGTCTTGATTAGGGTTACATAATATGGAAGACACACAGAAAAACAGGATGTTAGTGAGAGAGTATGGAGACAAGTGTCCCAAATAAATTATGTACTAGATAAAAAGAGTAAATAGAGGTTTAGTTAAGAAAAAGATGTTACTAAAATGTCATACAAAATAATATTAATAACAAAACAGTTGAACTTGGAATTATACCCAAGGCAGAAAGAGAAGGTAGGGATGGAGAGGTTTCTTCTGCGTGCTCATAAATCAGGGTTTTCCATACGAAATCACTAAGGTCTAGGCAATGCAATGTACACTGAAGCTTACCGTTTTCAAGAGGCTTCTTTTATCTTTGTAGGGGATTTTGAATGAACTCTCCCCACATATTGACTGTTCACTTATAGCACTCCTTATTAACCCACCACCAGCTTACTGTATTCAAGTGGGATAATGTTCTCTGACTTCTTTAAATGAAAACACTCATCTAACTACCTGTATATCTCACTCCACAGCACCAAGTGAAATGGTAGATACACAAAAGTGGTGAAATGAGGTAGTTTATATTTACAGTTTTTTGAAGAACAATCTGTCTGTCTGTATTCAACATAGAACTTTGCACCGATTTGCACCAGTTCGAGTCACCACACTCCATGTAGCACACAAGGCAAAAGAAGAAAGTAGGGGAAATGCATAATATAGACAGTAAACAGAGGTGAGAGACAAAGGAATAGTAGTAACGAAGAACAATATAGTTTCATTGGAAACCATAAGTCACAAGAAGTGGATGCATCTGAGCCATTGAGAACGATTTTGAGCCATGTCACCAATTATTTCCAGCCATTGGTGTTTATCGTCCCCAGGACCCCAACCAGGAAGTCAATCTACACCGCCCTAATTGGATTAAACTAACTGTTTTGGATTTCACTGAAAGATGAGGCCATGTTTCGGTTTGACCACCATTAGCTCACTATTTTCCAACCTGACCCATCCTATGTCAGCTAACATTGCCCGTCGAGGAAGGCGATGACTAGACATGCGTAACACATGCCCTAACGGTCTCAATCAGTGTGACTTCACAGCCTCGTCTATTGATTTCCCCTCCTTACCTAGCACTGGACGCCTAACCTCAATATTGCTCATCTTATTATACCACTTCACACACACGCAGGCACCTATTATCAAAGAAATCTAGCTAGCCTTTTTATGTCTCCCACTCTCAATGGCCAGGTCTCTCTCACAGCCATAAAGGAGGAAGGAGCGGACTGCTGAGCAGTACACCCGCCCTTTGGTCGATAGCCAGCCGGATATCACGTCTACGACAGAGACGGCGTAAACTGGCATATACGAAACTAGCCCTCTGTATTCATGATGAGATTTCGTCAGAGATCAACCCGTTGGGGCTGATGGTACTTCCCAAATAAGTGAGGCGGTCAACGTGCTCTACCACTTCACTCCCTATCTCTAAACTAGGAGCAAGAACAATAGGCAGTAAGAGAATACCAGTCCTCATATAGAGGCATAGGATCTTCTTTCCATGTATAGCATCTTCCTTAACACAGTGATCGGGTGTTCTTTGTCGGTTTTTTGGTTTTACGTGTGTATCTATAAAGCTTGAGGGATAGCCATTTTCAAGTAGTGTCTTCCTCATCACAGTGATCTCTTCTTCTGCATACGTTTTTTGTATTGACAACTCGTCACTGCTACCTCCTTACTAATCTTCAATCCCCCGTCCCTTCCTCCCGCGCCTAGTGACAATTTGATTATTCATCACAGTTTTGGAAATATTTTGATGACATAAACAATAAGTCTAACTAATTTCTATTCTTGCGTGATAAACCTAATGTACGCGCACGTACGTACAGATATAATTATACATAACTGCGATTGTGTACAGCTTAGTGAATGAATTCTCCGACAAATTGGAGACTACTGTTGGTTGAACTCTTTGCTCTTATATTTCGAATTTTCTAATGTCTTTACATAGAAACTGTAATTTAACACAACTGCATTGCATAAATTAAGCAAATTATTTTCTGGAAATGGAGAAATAAAAGTGAAGAAATGTACTCACTATGTTTGTCTCTTTAAAGGAGTAAAATCCTTGCAACACCGCGAGAATCATACTTGCAGTTTGTTGACGTGCTACTGGTTTTGGATCAAGAAGCATAGAAACTCTGTAGAAGAGATAAAAAGTGTCAGAATGAAATCAACACTTAGACACCTTATAATGTCAGATAGGAAAAGCATACCCACAAAATCAGAATAAAAACTAAATTGAAGGAAGTGTTTAATATTATTATTATTATTGTTTTTGCAAGATTCCCTTGGTACAGTGAAGCCAATACTAATAGGCACAACACAAATGTGATATATAACTGAGATTAATTGGAATATATCTAGCACGAAACCTAGGTCCAAGGCTTCCTCTGGCCGATTGCCTCCAGCCATCTAATATCATGGAATATATCTTCATAATTTATTCAGAAACAAGAGTAATTAAGAAGAAAAACTTGTAGTTTCATCTTCTTCCTCAGGCTATCCAGCAATAAACCGATTAATTTTTAGAACAACGCATTTAAGCGAACAATATTATGGTTTCAATTAGATCTCATCAGGCTTAACTCTGATACACCTACATAACTGTACAAGTAAAAATTCAAATACAAACTAATCATGGTGGTTTGTCAAAAGGATAATAAGATTGTGTGTATAAATTGTACAACTAGTCATAATAATAATAATAATGGTTTTATCAATAATAAGGATGAAAACTGAGGCAATCTGTGATAAAACAAACAACGAAAAACAGAATGATTAAACAAACAAATGTTCAGGTAGAAGTAGTCGATAAAGGCTAGTAAAAACAAATGAACCAATTAAATAATGCTAGATTGTAAGGGAAGTAAATGAAACACGTTTTTAATGAAGATGCTATAAGATTAAGGGATGATAAGAGAGGGGTTGAAAATATAAGTTGAGGGGGGGGGGTGGTTGAGAAGTCATCCGTTGGTTATGTCTCAATAGGCCAAGGGAGGGATAATGGCTGTAGGAACTTCTTTTGAATGCATAGTTTAGGTTTAATTGTTCGAATGCCTATCACCTCAGCTGTGTGCATTAGACGAATACGAAGTCTATTGGAAAGATTCGGTGGGATACGATGAATCACTTTGAAGGCTCTCGTTTTCTCGATTATATGACCACTATCAACTGAATGTGTCAAAATTGAGCTACAGATTGTTTTTTTTTCTGTTCTTCGCCAAACCGTCACGATGGGAGATGTTCACTAACACATTGCTTGACTAGGCTGTCTAGTAGTAGTGTGGCCGACATAACTGAACCGCAGGTGCAGTTGAATAGTTAAGTGCACATAGATGTGGCAAAACTGTCTAGCTTATCATTCGTTTGCGTCTCAATCATTCGTCGGCTAGAGTATGACAGACATAGGTATGCTGCGCAAAACGTTCTTCGTATACTCCTGGAAAGTCTCTGGAATAAAATTTCACTTGATAAGTCACCATTAAATTGTAACTTAATAAATACATGTTTTTTACATGCAGTCATAGTCTCAGGTTTTCTCTCTGATGTTTTTATATTTTTCCTACTCGGATAACCGATCTCCGTCAAGGAATCGTGAATATATTCAAATTTCTTTTGTAAGAGATCATCCGTACATATCTTTCTTGCTCTGCTTGTAAGACGTTTAACAACATTTCTTTTATATTTAATGGGCACGTAACTAAGGAATTGTGTGTATTATCCTACGAATGTGCCTTTTCTACACACGCTTCTCCCAAGCAACCCATCTTCTCGCCTATTTAGTAAGACATCCAGAAGATGTAGTTTACTATCCTGGGCCTCTTCACAAGTAAAAGTATGCGAAGGGTGGAAGTTATTGAATTTCATCAATTTGAATTCCCATAAATGTATTACCGACATATCAATAATAAATATCCAACTCCCTGATGTTGTCTTTCAATTTCCCATTTTCAAGTTTTGCGAGGAAGAAGTCAGCTAATATTGGGCCTAATAGTGAACCAATAGCTATTCCATCTACTTGTCGGTAGTATGAATTATTAAAGACAAAGTGGACATTCATTGTGCATTTAAGGAGTAATTCTTTGAGGCTACACAAGGGAACTCCTAATTCTAATTGCCTTTCGGTGATTTCCTGACAAATGTAATCTACCGGTTCTATAAGTGGTACATTCGTGAATAGTGATGATATATCCATGGATAACATGCGTTTATCCCTCACATTAGTCTCGGATATTTTAGAAATAAAGTCGAAGACATCACTAATTCTATATTGCACAATTTCTATGTGCAAAGGTCCCATAGTATTCACTAACCACTTCGCTGTTCCATGAAATGGAGAGTTATACATATCTAAAACTGGGCGACTAGAAAGAGTAGGTTTGTGCACTTTGGGTAGACCGTAAAGACGTGGAGTATTTGTACCCTTTGGTTTCATAAACTCATTGCTAACCATGCAGCATAATGTTCAGTGATGCGTTTGGAAAGTGTGCGCTTTGTGCGGCCAGTATAACTGGCTCCACACGAGCAGGTGAATTTATCAACACACATTTTTAACATACAATAACACCAGTAAAGGTGAATTAGAATCATATCAGAAAGTGTATTGTGCATTTTATGCTGAAATTAATTGGTTTTTAATTACCAAAAATACTCATTAAGTTATGAAGAAGATAAAAGACTATTCGGCGAAGAAAATCTTCCTTATCAACTAAATCATCTTCACAGGCTGTACAGTCGTATTTATATTTACGAAAAAACGTAGAGTAGTTCATTATTGAGTAATAGAGGGGTGACATAATTGATATAGTTACTCAGAAGTGGCTTCGAAAGTAACAAAAAATTATAAATTATATAATGCTCAACGGCACAAAGGGAAAAACAATTAGAAATTTGTTAAGGTTAAAATTGTTATTGAGTGAGAAGAAAGGTATTTGAGTGTGAAGAGGGTGAGAAAATGTACAAAAAGAACATGCCAGAGTGATAATAGTAAATTAATCATTAAAGTAAAATCAAATTAAAAGTAAAATTAAACGATAAAAATTTACCGGGAACGACTAGTGAAGAGGCTAAGACCATGGTAGAATAAGAGACTGGACAAACGTTTTCTGTATACAGAGTTCGGGGTTGTATTGACGAATCGCCAACGACTCTGCCATACATAAATGCCGAAACCTGATGCCCTGTGTACCATTTGGCCTCATCTTGTCGATAATCTTGAAAGACGACTTTGGTGGCGCTACGCGCCTTGAGTTAACCAAGTGCTCCAAAAGTGATCTAGTAATTGTCTTGCATTGTCCTTTTGCTAACCATGTAGGATAATTGAATTTTAGATTTTCCCGTCGATTGATTGGACCGAAGTGCTCGGTCTTGCGTTGACATGTTGGTTTCTTGTGCAGATGCTCCGAAGATGTTGGGCATGTAATCAGAAGTTAACTGGAGGATGGTGACTAGCAGTGGAATCCAGTGTGCGCATTTCGTCTCATTTAGGACTCGTCGTCTGGATGTAACAGCATTTCTCAGTGAGTAATGGTGTTTCCACCGAGGCTAGAACCAAGTGCCAATAGTCTCAAACGCTAGAGAATTATCCACTAAACCACTCGGGTCAGGAGAGTCACCTTTTGTACAATGGGTCTTATTAGTTATCTAATTCAATTTAGACTGGTAACTATCCACCAATTGACTTCAAGTTTTTTATAACCAGACTTCGCCAAAGCATCTGCACAAGAAGACGATATGTCAACCTGGGATTGAGTACTTCGGTCAAATCAATCGACTGGAAAATATAAAATGAATTAAGTAATCAAATCAAAGCTATACAGTTTGGTAATATAGTTGGGGTGGGGGTTATATATGCAGTGCAGATTGACAACAGAGTTCAGAGGATATGGTCAGTTAGTGACAGAGCAAATCAAAGTGCCTATGCAAAATCAAGAGGGTAGACAACAATTACCATTATGGTTGTCAAAAGGAAAACGTAGAACAGTCAGCAGTTCAGTTTTGGAGCATATTGTTACTTCTGGTCATACAGCATCAGCAGAGACATATTTAAGAGTCCTATATAAAGTACGACTAACTCATTCGAAAGGATTCCACCTACATCTTCTTCAAGCAGCTGAAGCTATAGCAATCCTTAAGGAGAAACCTGAGCTTTGTGCTCAGAGGCATTTCATTCAGTCTCTTTTACTACCATGGCCTTAGTACAGTTTTTTTTGTTTTTCTTCTTTTTTCTTTGTCTTCCTGAATAACTAACTGCATAATAAGCTCTATGTACACCCTTGTCCCTAATCAACCATCTCCAAACGATTGTTCATTATTATTATTATCGTTATTACTATTTTCATTATTATTCCCTTAAGTTCCGAGTGGAACATCACATCTTCAACAACACATCTCCACATTCTTCTATTTACTGCTCTCCTCTTCAGCTAGGTCCACGATTGCCCATAATCTACAATCTACTCCTCACACGATCTCCTCCATGTCACCCCAGGACGGCCTGCTCGTCGCTTCACATTCGGATTCCAATTGAACAACGGCCGGTATTGCGAGCGATGTCATTCGACGACCAATACATCTCCTTTTTCTCCAATATAGTTGTTGAGCGGCCGGCTCTCACCTGTTGCTTTGTTCCCAACCACAGTTTTCTGTTGGTAATTCCTTCTGGCTGGCCTGTTGGCCATTTGATCTTCAGTATAAAGTCAGCGAAGGCAGCTGTTGATGAAAGTCTGAAACCTGTTGGAAATCCTCTCCACAACCCACTGGCCAAGTTTCTGACCCCTGTAGAAGGACCAACTTGACATTGGCGTCTAAAATCCAAATCTTTTTCCTTATCCTGAGTGCAAAAGATTTCAATACTGGTTTCAGGTTGATGAAAGCGTATATTACCTTTCCGATTCCGACCGCCTTTGACATCTTCATCCGTTCCAGCTACCTGTGTTTGAAACGATGTTTCCTAGCCGGATAAGTGAAGGAGGTAGCCTCTGTCAAATCTCTCCCGTTGATGGTGATTGGTGCTGGTTGTTGCTGTCCGTTGGTTATCCCCGTCACCTGCGTCTCTCCACCTTCTCTATGCTCACCTGCACTCCTGTATTCGCTGCCTGTCAGCCTCTTCAGCCAGCTTGTTGGTTTTCACCTGCAAGTCTTCGAGTTTGTGTGACATTAAACATGAATCATCCACGCGCGAAATCCAGATCTTCTTGAGTCTTCTTATCGGTCGTCCAGCGTATTCCTGTCTCCTCGCTCCCAACTCACAGTCCAACACATAATCCAGTCCTACACAATTTAGAATATCATCATTGGTGATAATAGTCAGCCAGCTTGTCTTACTCCTGTATGCGCTTAATTAATTTATTACTTAATATTTTGATTGTCAACCCTGGAGACTACGTAGGATCATTCACTACTTTCCATACAGTGTTATTACTCAGACACTTTGATTTGCTTCAAGTTGAGATGAAAGAAATCCTCAAGATGTCCATTCTATTAGATAATATTTCAAGACAGATTGATGATTTCAATCAAGTGAAAAAAAGAACACACAAGAAATTATGACATTGAAATTTTGCATAAACTTAATCAGAGACTTACAAACACGGTTGATTCGGGCTAACATAAAGGAAATGCATTAAACAACGTGCTGCACTAGGATTACTTGCAGCTAAACGTGTCAGCAAGCCAAGTAGTTCAGAAATTAGTTTTGTCGACATTTCGGAAACACTTGTTGTTGATAAACTTGTTATCGGTTCACTGCAATTCAACGCCATGCTTAGTTTTACTCGTGGATGTAAAGCGAAAAATGTATTGAACAAGAAGTGAGACATTAATTTTGTCCCAAGGACAGAACGTTCCGGCTCTTGACGTAGACTGCTAACATCTGTCTGTAAGAGAAAAGAGGGAGAACAAAGGTAATCAGCCAGTTATATATAAAGTAAAACTCAATAAAATGTTTTAATTCTGTCGTCATCCCAAAGACTTTCATGCAAAGTACAAAGTCATGAGCCCGTATTAGCTTTATTTATCTTGTTTCAATTTGTGATACCGGGTGAACGAAAGTTGGTCCTTGTGGCACAGTGGTGGTGGTGGCACTTTGGTGTCTGGAACCATGGTTACAGTGTTCTATTACTAGTGGGAATACCACCATCTACAGGGAATGCAGATATCTCCGGTTGATGGCTCCAAAACAGGACGAAATCTGCATCATAGATCCAACTGCTAGTTACAGTCAAGCAAAATGATGTTTTTATTTCAATTTTTGTTGTCCCGTTAACTGAATGCACCGAAATTTCCCGCCTCTGCTGATATGTCGGTCGCTTGGACTGATATGACAACAGGGCCGAACACTGCGGTCCAGTCCATCAACGGGGAAATCAAAACTGAACTAAAGACAAGTAATAACTGATCCTCGTTGTAAAAGAGGTGACAGTTGTGGCCCAGGTGATGACGTGGATGACGACGCTCTGGAGTTTGAGACGATGGTTGCACTATTCAAGTCCCGATGGAAACACCATCAAAGCTCACTGGGAATACAGACACATCCGGTTGACGAGTCCCTGACAAGACGAAATGCTCATCCACTGTCGGCCACCATCCACCAAAATACTTCAAAGTGCTATCATATTATTAGTAGTACTGCTTGTATTCTAGACATAGAAGAAATGAAAGCACTATGTTGAACAAAAAGAAACTCATTTTAAGTGTTTAATTGATGTATCTAAATTCCCTGCCAAATAACGAGGAAACGATTTCTAACCCGAAAAAGATTAAAAATCCTAATTGCATAGAAGTAATGAGTCAAACCAATACTGTTCCTACCACACACACACATGTCCACGCATATCTCATGTGGAGTCAGGTATGTCGGCCGTACCCAGCATTCACCATCCAAACGTATCACCGAACACTTACCAGCATGATTTTAAAAAGGAGAGAAACGATGCCCTCGCATCTCAACCTTAGGACATCTGATAGATTCCGGACACCAAGCTACACCCCAAACAAACTTCACAGTCGTCTACAGAATACGAAGCAGTCTTCCTAAGAGTGTACGAGTCGAACTTCTTCAGACTCCAGAAGCAATAGTAATTCATTTGCTATGTCCTGAACTCTGCATACAGAAGAAGTTCATTCAGTCACTACACTTGCAATGGACGTAATGTCTTAATACCTGACAGATAAATTCTATTTCTTTCTGTCTCTTCATTAGTATTATTTTGTCTTTACAATTGTAATATTTTACATCTTCAACTTTCCTGTTCTCTACCCCCTACCAGCATCACCAGTAAACATTACTGTATAACACTATGAGACTTTATCAAAACAAATTTTACCCATAATGGAATTCAAACTCCAAAGTCAACTTAAACAAAGAAAGGCAAATGAAGCTGAATTGTCTTCTAACTGGCAAGTCAGTCACAAAACAGATTTTGTCACATATTGAGATGACTTGAGATGACACTTAAAATCAAGGAGTACCGAATATTTGTTCCACCTAGCCTCAGGGATTTAATGATGTTTCCGCTTGGAACCCAAGCTTCAAGGTCATTACATTAACTGTTCACTACACATTCTACTCTCTACCTGATGTCATCTCGACACTGTATATTGGTGGTCCTCACAAGTTATTGTCTTCTCAACAAACTCGTAAATATCCATTTCGAAATTTGTAACTTTTGTGTAATCCCCAGAAGCTGTACAGGATGCATGATCCAACTAATGTCTAAAATTGAAGTTAGTTTGTTCAAAACTTCCAGAAGTTATCTGTTCATATTACAGAGGTCTCTCGAAAGTAGGTAGAAACAGTGATCCAGTGCCTCTTGTTTTATCTAGATCTGTAAATAACATGAATTCACAACCAAAATCTACCTCGAAGTCAGACGAATGTATACATACTTCGGCTAGAAAATTGACACTGAATTAAAGAGAGCAATTTATCTGCATACTTTATGATAAAGTGAGTCAGTGACGTGGAGATAGAATGCTTGTCAGCCTCTCGGGTGTTCCGAGGTTCCGTCCCTGACAGACGCACCCACAAACCTCACTCCGCTGGGAATAAGCCCGGCAAACAGGGAAGGTTTGGGTGTGAGACTAGCAACACCATCCGGTAAAAATGAAACCACTACTACTGGAACTTTAGAGCTGTAGCCTGAAGCCCTATGCTCCACTCGGAACGCAAAGGAATAAAAAATAAGTACGATAAAAGAACTGCCTACACTAAATATATCTCTTCATCAAACACTAAGTGATGAAGTTTAAATTATGTATGTAATCCGAAGAATCCAAATTTGGGTGTTGAATAGATATACTTGCGGACTGTTTTCTACATTGGTCATCCATGTGGTATGTATCGAGTCTTATAAATGATTTGCTCCCATTCTTATATCTGTCATATAATATTGTAACAGCGGAGGCCAAGGTACATTTTCAATTGATTGAACCTATTTTTTTTTCCTTCACGTTCCCAGTGGAACATAGGGCTCCAAGCTAGTGGCTTAAAGTTTCTATTGAAGTGTTTATTTTACAGGATGGGGTTGCTAGCCTCATGCCCAACCTTTCCTCTTTACCAGCTTTTTATTACTGGCTTAGCGAGGTAAAGGAGTGCGTCGGCCGGCGATCGAACCCCAGACCATGTGCATGGTCGGCGAGCGTCCTAACCGCTATGCCACCGACGCACCTATATATATATATGTATATATATACAATTTACATTCTTTAATCAGTCACTGACCGCGTGATTTTACCTTGCTTTAAACGACGTGAAATAGAATGTTCAAATACATTTATAGTATCCTGTTGCTAATGCAGTATTGAACTGTGGGAATTTGTGAGAGAATAATATTTTCTTTGCACACACATTGTCTGTATCAAACCACCACAATATTACTATTTTAGTCATTTATTTTATTATGATTACTACTCTGGCTAATTCAGTTAACTTATGTGTATCTTCACCTTCACCCTATTCATCAATGTTAATAGCTGTCATTATGACAACTCATCACGTTTTTTACTACCATCATTCATGGAAAAATAAATTGTGGGCAAATATGACTGTATGGCTAAAGAAAAATAAATTCGCCGAAAACAGACCCTTCGTCGAACCACGTGCTTTATTTTCATTAATGTCTGGATGGGGATTATTCATGGATCATCAGTATTTTACAAAGTACTGATTATGTAATAACATGCTAAATCTGGCTTAGTGATTGGTTACAGGATTTCATCATGAGCTAATATCGGTTACAGAACCATTGGAAAACCACCACTGGAGTACTGGGCAGCCAGCTGTTTTGTCAACCTAGTTTGGGACTCTTCAGCAGTGCGTGCCCACCGCAAAGGTTCGAACCCAGGACTTTCTGGTTATAAGGCGAGCTGGCAGACCATTAAGCCACTGGGACCCGGTCCAGTGGCAGACCCACGAATTCCAACTTCTGCCAGTTCATGACATAGCGCGACCACTAGCCAATGTCTTCGATGAGTATCTGTCTTGCTTATTGACTAACTCGAATTCTGTACTCAGTTATTTTGACGTCTCTTGAACGAATGGGGATGTTAAGATGTGGATCAGAAAGGCAAGACAGACCTTCGTCACTCTGAAATCAGTTTGAAAATCTTCTGCACTTCACCTCATCTATAAAAAACAAAATTCAGATATGCACCATTAATGTTAAATCAGTGAATTCTTCTGTATAGGTCAGGCGATTGGTTCATACGTCGCGAAAATCATTTCGAACAAACTACTTTAGACTGTTAACATTAGCTGTCTTCGCCATTTCCTTACTGAAGGTCGGATGGCTGGTCACGAAGAATTAGGAATAAGCGACTCCGGGAGGGAACAAGGCGACCAAGAACCATTCGCTCAATAGAAATGTAGAAGAAAACGTGGGGTTGGATCAGACACAGGCTGTGGCGACCGTTGAATGATATCAAGCACCAGGCCTTCGGCCGAATGGAATCCAAATGGGAAAGGACGATTCGGGCCGGATATGGGGGTGACATGGTGAAGACCGTGTGGTAAAGAGGACATGAGAGCCTGTGGTCAATCGTGGTGACAGCTAAAGAGCACCATTGGGAACAGAATGAAACAAAGATGTTCTGTTGAACTGGAAACTCAAGGGAATAATAGTTACAATAATATGTAATAAAGCCACTAATGAGGAATTAATTGTAAAGGAAATTATTTCTTGGTTCAATCCATTGTTTCGTCTAAATTTTAATTTTTAATTTTGATTACAGCTTGATTCCACACTACATTTGTCTGTAAAAGTATGGAATTTTCAGCGTGTGATATCGGTAGCCCAAATTTTGCAGGCCGACCATAGATATCAGGTGTGCGTCGGCACGGGATCGAACCTCGGATCATCATGCATGGTCGGCGAGAGTCCTAACCATTGTGCCACCGACGCACATGGGAATGTTTCGTCTGGATTCTTTCTTGATAGTTATTGAAGACCAGTGTCAGTATATTATTCACAGCTCAAATACGATCCTTATCAGTTTTAAAGCACATCTGCTTCTCTATTGAGTGACTTTATGTAACTGTGTTCATTACATATTTCATCATATAAGAAAATTAAGTAGTAAACCGTATCAACTCCTTCTTCTCCATTCCCTTGCACTTCAAGCGGAACACAAGTTGATTTTCTTTTTTTTAATCGGGATGGAGTTAGTAGCCTCACTCATGAGCTTGCTCTCTTTTCACCAGCTAGTAAATTAGGCGATGTTTGAGAGTGCATTGGCACCCAAGAGTCGAACCCGGGTCAGCTTTCTACCACTGAAAAGTGATTATCCCCCACCATGAATCATTAAAAGAAAAGCTTAAAGTCAGTTTAAGATATTCTTATAGAATACGAGACTTACTAATATGCCTTCACACAAATCTCGTATAAACTGAAAATATTCTCGTGAGTAAATATTTTGATCGCGTAGAAAAGTCATATTCTCTGTCCATATTTGTTGGGCAATACGTGTTGGCATTGGTATAGATTTAGTTTTACTGATAACAGTCAAGGCGGTTGTTTCCAGTAAATCGTTTTCATTACACTGTGAATTTGATGCGATGTCCAATTGCGAATGATCATCATTAGATAAATGTGAATCGGATTCTGAAAATAAAAGTACACATCAGTGATTATTATTATTATTTATTTAGCAAAAAAAACTGGGCAAAGAACATTCCTTTCAACAATTTCCTCTTCTGGCTCTACAATTATATTTATATATATTGCACACTAGTCGGTAACTAGCGTAATCTGTGAGTGTGCCTCTAGTCCTATCTTTGGTGCAGACTGAATTCTGTCAGTCTAGTGTGCAATGTGGCCACCATGCTAGGTGGCTCGCCATCACGGTGCACTGTGAATTGTTGGTATTAGATGGCTGGAGGCAATCAGCCACAGGAAGCCTTGACTGGTAGAATTCAGTCTGCACCAAAGATAGGACTAGACACATTACACTAGATACTGACTAGTGTCCAATCAAAAATTTCTAATACAGTCCTACAGGAAGTCAATCGCGAGCCCCAATAGCTCAGTGGTAATGTCTCTGACTGCAGGCAGCACTGGGTGACGTGCTTTCGAATCTCAGGAAGGACATGAGTTCCTTCGACGTTGCAGATACGCCTTGGTGATGAGTGTGAACTAGCACGAAGTCTAGGTCCAAGGCTTCCTGTAGACGATTGCCTTCAACCACCTAATACACAGAATATTCTAGAATAGTCGTCATTAACAATATTAGTGTTTTTAAATACTATCCATTTGTTAAGTAAGATCAATAAATAGAACTGCCACAGTTCACTAAAGATGCATAAATTATAGTAAGCATAACAGTGTAGTAGCAAACATAATATCAAATAAAATTAAGGAAATCTCTACGGCTACAAATTAAGGATCATTAAAACCTTGATTGACGGTCAAAGTAAGGAAAGTGACTGAACCAGCTTCTTTTTCCGGATACATAAGTTAGGTTTCTTAATGTAGATCTCAACAGCCTCAGCAATATTTAGCAGATGAACTGCTAAGGTAAAGTTAAGATTTGTTGGTGTGAGGTAAATGACTTTGGAAGCCACCCTGTTAACATCAATCTTGTGTTCTGTATCCATGAGATGAAATAGAATAGAACTATGAATGGATGTGTCTGTCCCTTCCTTAACCACTGTGCAGGATGGTGTTTAGAAATCCAACGATAAACACGTCTATTTGTACTGCCTATGTAACTGGCTCCACAGGGGCAATCAAACTGATGGATATACATGGAAGAGGAGAAATTAGGCAGTCTATCTTTAACCTACGAACACAAAACAGGGGTGGTTTCGAATGGATGATGGATGTCATCTACCGTGTACTAACTAATCTTCACTTCACCTTAAGAGTTCGTTCACTACATATTCCTGAGTTTGTTGAGATCTACATTAAGAAACCTAACCTACGTATCCAAAAGAAGAAGTTGGTTCAGTCGCTTTCCTTACTTTGACCGTCAATCAAGGTTTTAATGATCCTCAATTTGTAGCCGTATAGATTTCCTTAATTTTATTTGATATTCTATGTGCTATAATATTTTTATGCTTATTATAACTTAATCTTCTTTCTCGGCTAGGCACCCAGCTTCTCAATTAGAATATGTGATTTGTCCCTGTCACTGAAACATAGATTTAAAATACATGTTAATGCAGAGGAATTCTAGGCATCCTACATAAAACGGCACTGTATCATCTGGATTGAATATGACACATTTTCAGCTTTGAAGGGTTGTGTTTCCTAGCACAGCTTTTTTGTTAAACAGTGGAATTATGTTCAGACTTGGAAAAGACTCGACCATGCTTCACTGTTAATTATGCTGATGCCGATGAAGAAGGTTGAGAACATTTAAATATCGCCTAGCAACATGATTTCACTCCAAAAAAAATCAGTTACTACTAACGCGATTAATAAGTTGTTCACTGTTGAATCTATAACAGCTAACAACTGCTGTGTACAAGACTACTAAGAGACCTTGAATGCAGTAGCCTGATTAAATCACTGGGCTAGCGAAAATATCCTATCCATCAAAATACATCGTATTCAATCCGTTTCTGATGTAGTTGTGTTCTCCGACCTCGATGGTTTACTTGCGAAGCTTTCACTAGGCAATATCCTCAACGCGTACTTCAATTGATTGAAGTGAGCTTTCAAATTTCTCCACAAGTTTATTAGTCATCTCTCCTGGTGACCTGGAACGTTGTGATTGGTTGTTTTTGTGTGTTTTCACACCCTTTAGGCTACTTGTATTGGTATTGTGATTGTTTCCTTGACTTGAACTTTGACCCTTTGTGTTTGAGATTTCCGTGTTATCGACTGGTAAAATCAAACCCGAAATTTGGATATGTTACGTAGATGACACATTTGTAATAATCAAAAGAAATGAGTTGGATGAATCTCACAACTTAAAAAACAACGTCTTCAACAACATCAAATTCACAAGAGAAGAGGAATCTGAGGGCAAAATAGCATTTTTGGGCGTCTTAGTCAAACGAACAGCCACATGAGAATTAGAAACTCAAGGTTATAGAAAATAACTCATACAGACCAAGTACTCAATTACAACAGCAACAATCCAATAACACACTAAAGGAGTTGCATATAAACACTATTCAAGAAGGCCAGGACTCATTGCAGCACTCGCAACTTAAGGAAAATTGAAGACAGATATCTCATGGACGTCTTGCAAAAGAATGGACATCCATGGAATTTCATCAAAAGACTTATACACCAGTAGCCCGCAAGGAAAGCACAAAGAAAATCCCCCTACCATTTAAAAGGGACATCTCAGAAATTGCCGCAACACTCTTCAAACCTTTAGGAATTGACGTCGCACACAAACCAACAAAACCACTTCACTCAGCTGGCTCTGTGTCAACCTAAAGACTCAACGGCGAAAGAAGATAAAACCAACATCATTTACAAAATAAATTGTAACAACTGCGAAAAACTCTACATTGGCCAAAGTGAACGTCCCCTTTGTCATCATATCTATGAACATAAGCTAGCCGTCAAAAGACATGACATTCACTCCCTCATATCATTAGATACAGAAAACCACGGACATCAATTAGATCGGGACAACACCAATAATGCTAGAGAATTTTTAGAAGCCTGCCTGGTATTCCAGTGAATCGTCAATCAATGGACACCTTGAGATAGACAAAATTTACTATCCGTTAAGAAGGAAACTTCACACACAAAGGGTCAAAGTTCAAGTCAAGGAAACAATCACAATACCAATACAAGTAGCCTAAAGGGTGTGAAAACACACAAAAACAACCAATCACAACGTTTCAGGTCACCGGGAGAGATGACTAATAAACTTGTGGAGAAATCTGAAAGCTCACTTCAATCAATTGAAGTATGAGTTGAAGATATCGCCTAGTGTTGGGGCAATGAAAGCTTCGCAGGTAAACCATCCATGTCACAGAACACAACTACATCAAAATCATCCACCTGAGCTACAAATCTTCACCGTCATATTTACCCCGTTTCATATGGTTCGAGTGATTTAATCACCACAATGAGTCACAATTCATACTGGTGCACTAATTCAAATACATTTCTGCCTACCACTAGTAATTTTTCGAAGGAAATGCAGAGGGAACATTGTGAAGTAGTATCCGAGGGAGCTTCGGGTGGAATAATACTGCTTCAGATGATATTTTATCGATTGTTACATGACTATTATTTGAAGGTTCTGCGCAAGGAATAAATAGCGTGTAGTGGAACTAGCTGAAAATTCTGTATTGCGTAAAAACGCATTTTTCGGAATAAAGGTATTATTATTATTATTACTATTATTAAAGACAGTATGCGTCCACCTGTGGTGATTATTTGTCAGATGTTGCTTTATTTCTTCACAGATGTGTTTGCTACAGTTTTTCTTGCAATCCTCAACAAAAATATTTTATTACATTTAACAAAACAAAAAAAAAGAATTACGAAAAAGAAGCAGAAGAAGGATGGAAAGAATGCAAACTTACTCCCCTCATCCTTATTCTCATTCGGCATTTGTAAATCTGTTTGCTGATTACTGGACAAGTCTTCAGTACTGCCAGTGTTCTGTTTATTCATAGGATAGTGTAAATCACTTCGTTCGTAAAATAGAAGATATGCACTCCAGTATCTTGTACGAGTTTCAATTGTTCTTCCTGTTGAGTAAAGCAGACAAATAATGAGATAATTAGACAGGGTTATTGAAAAAAAAAACAAAGTACTAAGAACGTAGGGATATGTGACTAATTTACTTTCAAAGTTTATGTTTGTTTTTTACAAGGCGGAAATATTGATGCCATTTTAGTCAACATCTTGCTCAGTAGCACAGTTGAGGCAGCCCTGTTCAGGAAACACTAAGTTGCATGAACAATAAAACTACAAAGTGTAGTTGAAATTCCGTGAGCAAAAATTATCGCCTCTTCTAAATGGTGTCACTGACACGGTAAGGACAAGTATTTTCAGTTAGTGAAATAAATTAGATGCTATTTCCACCATGTACTACAAAACTATGTGTTTTCTACTAGCCTAAATAAAATAAGAACACTATTATTATTCCCTAGAGTTCCGGGTGGAACATTTCCATTTCAGATTGTTCTCTTCAGTCTTTTTTAGTTGGATTCATGCCATGGATGAGTTGACTACCAAATACTATACGCTTACGTCTGAAAATCAAAATATTCAGTCAAGGGGAACTGGAAAATAACACGGAGATCTCAAGATTGAGGTGAAATTACGTATGATATGACGTCTGATTGTTTGATCGTCGTGCTGACCGCCATTTAACTCTACTTGTTCCTGTAATTGAATAATCACTGTATTGACATTTTAGCCTTCATAAAGATCTGTTATCTGGTAGATGGTGACTAGCAGTAGAATCCAGGGTGAACATTTCGTTGTATGTGGGTCTCGTCAACTGAGTTTGCCTCCATCCCTAGAAAGTAATAGTATTCCCACTAACTAATGAATCCAGAAATCATTATTGCATGCGCTAAAGTGTTATCCACTACGCCATATTACGTTTCAGTTTTTGAAACGAAGTGTACTGGGCTCGAGTCTGAGTAAGAATACCAACGCCCGATGGGGAGTACAGCCATATTCAGATGACGAGCCCCAGACAGGACGAAATGTGCATCTTGGATTCCAGTGCTAGTAACTACTGACCGAAATACGATCATGTTATTCGTAAAACATCGTTGAAGCTTCCGTACTAGGGACTTTAATATCAACAGAGACTGAACTTTTCAGTCTAATCAATCAACTGGAAAAACAAAACTCGTAAACCATTCAGCCACTGGGACCAAATCCAATGGCCAGTCTACAAATTCCAGTTGCAACCAATAGTGATTCTGATGAGACCACCAGACGTCAGGGTCGACGAATGTTTGCCCTCGCTCCTGGCCTGATGGACCCCACTAATCACGACTTCTAAATATAACTCCATCATGTAGCCAGTCACCAGCTGGTATCAGATAAATTTTAAAGAGTTGGTTTGTAGGGATTTGATCAATTTCAAGTCTTACCACAGATCGGCATCAGATAGAGAACCAGTGAAAACCAGAGAGTAGTGGATAGCTGTTCTGTCCTAGGCTGAAACTAACCCACTGGGTCTCAAACACAGGATCTACTGGCCACAAGGTAAGCTTGTAGGCCATTCAACCAATGGGACCCACCTCCATGGCCCATGAGTCACAAACTAGGCTGACGAAACAGCTGTTTTCAAAGGTTCCCTAACTGACATGGAACCGTGGTCATACATCAAGTCCCTACAAACCAACTCTTGACAAAAATAAAACTGACTTAAATATCATAGAAATATTTTGACTCATCATTAAGCTGTGACCAGTGACGTGTTTCTTGTTCTCAGAGCTGACTGAATTCTACTAGTCAAGTCTGTAATGTCTTTGCTAAGCTAAATAACTCAACAGGTGATGCACTGAATTCGCTGGATTACGACAGAGAAGTAGTCACTTACCACTTATTTATACTTTATTATTATTGGTCATTCGTAGTATTCTACCAAGTCATCCAGTGTCTTCCATTCAGCCTGATATAAACATAATGACCTTAGCTAACCTACCAGCATATAGTAGAAATACTGAGTGTTGGTGCACACCTTTTCCATACATTCTGTGAACACCACTCAGTATACAGCTTATCCAATATCTCTAAAGAAGAGTATCTTAGACGGTGACATTTTCTAAAAGGTTAGTAATGAAGAGTCGAAATTTATAAAACTAACGTCTGTAATAATGTAAGTGCACAACTTGGACACTGTGGCAGAGTATAGTTCAATACTGGGTAAGCGTATTTCACATATCACACAGTGACGCAGTATAATCAATTGCATGAAGTCTAGAGCATATATATATATATATATTGAGGCCGTCAGAAATGAACTCATCTCTCACCAAGAACTTGAAATTAGAACGAAATTGCCACTAGAGGACATAATGCTGGGAGTGCAGCTATGCCTGACTTCCACAGTATTTAAATTCCCAGGGAAAATATACAAACAAACTAAGGGAGTCACCATAGGGTCACCAGTATCACCGGAGAACTTAGCTCTTGAAACATTCAGCCCCACTCCAAAAGTATGGTGGAGGTATGTAGATGACACTGTACTCAGAACACAGGATATGGATACATTTTTTGAACACTTTAACTCATCAAAGGCAGAGGTAATTCAATTCACTTATGAACTGGAAAGTCAGGAAGGGAAGTTTCTAATGTTAGATTGTAGTGTAAAAAGGAAAGAAGATGGGAAGTTAAACACTAGTATTTACAGAAAGCCCAACATTCAAACAGATACTTGGATTTCGGACCATCCCCACACCATACGTCAGTAAAAATAAGACTGGTGAAATGTTTAAGTGATACGGCACAAAAGCTAAGTAGTAGCGAGAAAAATCTATGACAGGAAGTGAGGCATATAAGAGAAGCTTTGCACCTAAATAATTACGCTGATAAATTAATCAGAAAGTTTGTAGGGAAATGTAAAAATAAAATAAATAATAATAGTAGTGATAGGGATAATAATAGTAATGACTACATACATGTCAAACATGCGCAGGATAACGACAACACCAATAACAGCGAATTTAAATCATCAGTAGTACTTCCATACAAAGCAGGAAACTCGGAAACCTTACGCAGAATTCTCAACAAGGCAGGAATAAAAGTAGCTGGCACTCAAACCCGAAAACTCAATTAGAAACAAGCTTTGTCGGTTAACGGAAAGACCCTGTGGAGCCTTTAAAACAAAACAACTGAGTTTATCTAATACCCTGCAATGACTGTCAGGTCAAATACATTGGTCAAAGTAGTAGAACAGGGGCATTCAGACTAACCGAGCATAAGAACTTAGCAAAATCTAGATTAGTTGACCCGAAAAAGATGCGAAATCTGGAGGATAGTTCAGCTGTAGTACTTGCTACATGCAATTACACACAACCATACAACAGGATTGGATAAGATGACAGATTCGAAATCTAATATAAGAGGGCTGAGGGGAGGGACCGATAACGGGAGCTTTATTTATCGAACCAACTGGAAGGGAATACGTGTAATAGGAACTATTCTACACCTGTTCATCCGGGTATCCGGAAAATTGTACTCCCACCACGACAAATGGGAAGGAATAGAGAAAACTATAAAACTCAAGTAATATTATAGTAATATTTCCTTTATTTGTTTGATTTCATTATTTAAATCTCCTAGCCCATTGGTTAGGCTCTTGGCCCGATTATAAAGACATTTAACCTAACCTATCTTTACAGATTCTGGATGGGATGAATTAAAGTCTAAGTATTTATTAGTGTGCGTCGGTTTCCTATAAATGCTAGTATCTAACCTCGCACTATCTTGCTCTCCTTTTATTCTACAGTCTAGCTTGGCCAAATCACCCTGTTCATTTTCTGACTCAGAAGTGAATTGGATTCCGTCTACTATTGAGTTTATATGTGTAAGAAACTGAGGGATATGTTCAGATTTCAACACGTGAATGTGTCATCCGCATATTTCTACCATAAACGTTCTGAGTGGATTATGGTGGCGTCGGTGGCACAGTGGTTAGGAGTCTCGCCGACCATGCACATGGTCTGGGGTTCGATCCCGTGCCGACGCACACCTGATATCTATGGTCGGCCTGAAAAATTCGGGCTATCTATATCGCATGCTGAAAATTCCATGCCTGTACCAAAATATACGGCAATCAAATACAAAATGTCCCCAACTGTGCATAAATAATTCTAATTAGTGGTTAGTTTAGATGGCACCAGTTTGTACACCAATATTCCGATTAATACAGCTCTGGAGGCAGTTAGGAATGAATTGGACATAGATCCTGAACTGGAAAACAGGACTAAGCTCTCGATTAATGCAACAATAATAATATTATTAGGTGGTCAGTTATGTCTATCCTCCACTGTATACAAATTTTTCCACTGAACCAACAACAACAATAACAATAATAACCTTATCAAGTATGTAAATTAGCTTTTCCTTAATAAATAAATAACCGTGGAAGTTCAATAAAAATTGAAAGAAGCGCGTATAGGCACTGAAAGCGTGGGCAGCAGCAAGCATTGAATCAAGTGTTTATTTTATGCATGCTAACAGTTAAAAATAGACTGTTTACGTAGGCAATTCCAGCCTATTGATTAATTTCTAGGCTAGTAAGTACGTGTCAGACAAGAAAACTAAATTATCCTGCCTAATCAACCAATCAGACAATTTGTTTTCGTCTGCAATGTGAAATCCAAATCGTTTTCTGCCTAAAATTTTTATTATTATTATTCTTCTTACTAATCTCTTCCTCTATATCAAACAAAATAAGTGAAAATGAAGCGATCAGTGAAAATCAACTGGAGGCTTATGGGCTGAGGAACACAATAGAAAGTTTGAATAAAGATAAAACGGGGACATATTTCAGGATAATATGAGCTCGTTTTATTTCGTGAAATGTCTTCAACTGAATACATCCTAAACGAAACCATTTATAAGTAGCAAAATAGTGTCTGAACATACTTTCTACAATGGCTTCAAGTTATTAATAGAAAGTATAAAGAAAATAAAGCCTAAAGAAAATAAAGATGAAGTAAGCAGACCAATTACTGATTGTTAAAAGAGTAACTATTCACAGTAATTAGACAGAGGA